TTAGTAGAGATGGGGTCTTGCTCTTGCTCAAGCTGGTCTCAACCTCCTGACCTTGGGCAATCCACCCGCCTTGGCCTCCCAGAATGCTAGGATTACAGGCACGAGCCACTGCACCAGCCTCAATTCACTTTTTTTTTTTTTTTTTTTTGAGACAGAGTCTCGCTTTCTTGCCTAGACTAGAGTGAGTGCCGTGGTGGCAGCCTAGCTCACAGCAACCTCAAACTCCTGGGCTCAAGCGATCCTCCTGCCTCAGCCTCCCAAGTAGCTGGGGCTACAGGCACGAGCCACCATGCTCGGCTGATATATATATATATATATATATATATATTAGTTGGCCAATTAATTTCTTTCTATTTCTTGGTAGAGATGGGGTCTTGCTCAGGCTGGTTTTGAACTCCTGACCTTGAGCAATCTGCCCGCCTTGGCCTCCCAGAGTGCTAGGATTACAGGCGTGAGCCACCGCGCCGTGGCGTCAGCCTGGCTCACAGCAACCGCAAACTCCTGGGCTCAAGCAATCCTCTTGCCTCAGCCTCCCGAGTAGCTGGGACTACAGGCATGCGCCACCATGCCCGGCTAATTTTTTCTATATATATTAGTTGGCCAATTAATTTCTTTCTGTTTATAGTAGAGACGGGGTCTCGCTCTTGCTCAGGCTGGTTTCGAACTCCTGACCTCCAGCAATCCGCCCGCCTCGGCCTCCCATAGTGCTAGGATTACAGGCGTGAGCCACCGCGCCTGGCCCTCAATTCACTTTTGATGCAGCGTAACCCAGCCACCAAAACCAGTTGAGAACATCACAGAAAGGAAAACCAGGAGTCAACCTTCTATAAATGCAGATGTAACATTCCAGAACAAAATAAACAAATCGAATATAGCAATACATAAAAATGATAATGTATTAAATCTGAGTTTTTCACAAAATACAAGATTGTTTCAATACTTGAAAACCAATCAGTGCAATTCACATAAAAGGAAAAGAATCACACAAATCATCTAAATAGGTGCAGGAAAAAGCACTACCAAAATTCAATACCTACTCATGATTTCAAAAAAAAAAAAAAACCTGAAAACCAGGAATAACCCATGGGTCATTAATAATGGCTGTATATACATCTTGAAATCTCAGTAAAAAAAAAAAAAAAAAAAAAAAAAAAAATAATGGCTGTAAAAAAATAACCCATGGTCAAAAAAGAAAGCACAAGCCGGGCGCGGTGGCTCACGCCTGTAATCCTAGCACTTTGGGAGGCTGAGGCGGGCGGATTGCTCAAGGTCAGGAGTTCGAAACCAGCCTGAGCAAGAGCAAGACCCCATCTCTAATAGAAAGAAATTAATTGGCCAACTAAAAATATATATAGAAAAAACTAGCCGGGGTCTCAGCTACTCGGGAGGCTGAGGCAGCAGGATTGCTTGAGCCCAGGAGTTTGAGGTTGCTGTGAGCTAGGCTGACGCCAGGGCACTCACTCTAGCCTGGGCAACAAGCGAGACTCTGTCTCAAAAAAAAAAAAAAACACAAAGGAAATTAGAAAATGTTTTTTATTAAATGATAATGAAGATAGGCCATATTACAACCTCTACAAGGAATAGAGAGGCACATCCTTAATCTAGTTTAATCTGCTGAAGAGTGTAGACCTCTTAATGAAATACTGAAATTATTCTCCATGAGATGAGGAATGAAACAAGGATGTCCACTATCACACCTCCATTTAGCAATTATCCCAGCCAGTAAGAAAAGAGGACTTTAAGGGGGAAAGGGAGGAAACTTTCAGTATTTGCTGACAACATGATTGTGTACATAGGTAATCCAAAAATATCTACAAAGTGATTAAGTGAATTTAGCAGGGTCACAGAATACAAGATCAGTATAGTAAAAAAAAAAAACAAATCAACTACATGTTTCTACGTATAACAAATAGAAAATGAAATTTCAAAAATATAAAGCATAAGAAATCAAGTAGCTAGAAATAGATATATCAAAAGATGTGCAGACTCTACATTGAAAACAGTGACACAATCTTGAGAAAAATTAAAGAGCTGTGTTAATCAAGGGATATATCATCTCCATGGATTGGAAAACAATATTATAAGAATGCCAATTCTATGAAATTGATCTGCTGGTTAAACTCAATTCGAAGTAAAGTCCCAGCAGGTTTATTTTTATGAAAATTGACAAGCTAGTTCTAAAATTTTGCAAAAACAGCCAAGGCAATCTTGAATAAGAACAAAATTGAAGTCCTTCCACTCCCAAATATCTTCCTTTAACTTTTCAACCTTTTAGTATAACAGCTTACTGTAGATGTGTCTTTTATAAATAGCACCTACTTACATTTTATTTCATGACCTTTTCTGAAAGTTTTGTCTGTTGGTATGAAATGCCATTTGTATTTTTTATTTTACTTCTATCATCTTGTTCTTGGGGTTTTTTTAATACCTCTTTGTTGCCCATCCCCAATCCCACTTAATAAGTGAAGTGACCAAACTTTTTTAATTTTGCTGGAATGGAGAAGTGGTTCTATATTCTCTGGTCTTTTGAAGTTATATGTCCTGGCTTTTAATTCTACAGGTGATCTCATATTGATTATTTTTTAATGGAATTTACTATTTTGAGCTACCTTTTTGACTATCAAGAAGATGGGCATTTTTTCAGAAGTATAATTAGTCTGGCTGGATAGTCTGGGGAACTGGTCTTGGATTTTCCAGCCTGAATGTCCTGAGAAGCAGAGATGTTTAGGTGCAGTGGCATCTGTCTTGGGTGTCAGGAAGAGGGTCTGAGCAGGCCTGGATGGCAGGGTGAGAATACCGTTTAGGGCTTCCTCTTCGCCAGCTGCTGCTTCATTGCAATTTAGGATTTCTAGGCCTTTCCTGGGCATGGTTCCCAGAAAGTCCCTCTGCTGCTGCTGCTGCCCTGATCAGGTTTCTAGACCTGTTAATAACAGACAACATGAGGGAAGGGCCAAGAACATTTCAGAAATAGGAATAACCAAACCAGCTGGGTAGTGCATGAGGCCCTGTCTGTCTGCTCCCTCCTCTACCTAATGAGTGTCTTGCAGTAGGCATACCTTCTAGGCACTCTTTGGAGCCATACTAACTTTGTGAAAGTCTCCAAATCCCCAAAACTAGAATACATGGGCTGGGGAGTACTAGTGCATTTATGAGAAGGTTGAAACAGAATATTTGAGACCTGAACTATCCCAGAAGCAAGAAGATAAGTAATAGCACCCCTCACATATCACCCAGCAGGAAAGGAGGTTGGGCAGCATTGAACTGAAGCAAATAACTACTGAAAAAGATGATATATAATCCTGGGGTGTAGAAGAGGAATGAGAAATGCAAAGGTGAAACCTGGAAAAATGAGGAGACAATGATGTCAGGGGTGTAGAAATGGGGGCACAAGACAAGCATGGGAAACAGGACTTCTATTAAGTCAAATCTGAAATCAGCACAGTTTGAATTGTGATGTCCCTTGGGCTTCCTATTCCCCATGAAAGATCTTGCTCTTAATGCCTCCCCTCTCTTCATACTCTTCCTCTGTCAAAACCTGCTCTCAGTACAGAGTATGGTCAACTCAACCTAGGTATAAATTATTTAGAACTATTAAGCCTTCAAAAATTACTGGTTGCAAAAATTTAAAACTCTTCTATTGTAAAATATAACAGATATAGAAAACTACATAAAGAAAATATATAGCTTAAGAAATTATAAAATGAAAACCCTTGTTAGCACTCAGGACTAGAAAGAGAATCTGGCCAGCTATTCTAGAAACCAGCTGTGTGTCCCATCTTATCACAATTCCTCCCCCCTTCCCAAAGTAACCACTAACTGGACTTTTAATCACTTAGGAGGATTTTACTTTAATGGGACTAAAAGGGTTTAGCTATAAATAATCACTAATGATACAATATTAGGCAGTTGAGGAGTGTTTGGAGGAACCATGAGAGGCAGCTAGATCTCAGCACACTTTAAATCACACCGTATCACACAGTTCCTTCTCTGCCTATCATTAAGATACACCTCACTGGAAAAGTGGCCAGGCACAGTGGCTCACACCTGTAATCCTAGCACTCTGGGAGGCCAAGGCAGGCGGATCGTTTGAGCTCAGGAGTTCAGAGACCAGCCTGAGCAAGAGCGAGACCCCATCTTTACCAAAAATAGAAAGAAATTAATTGGCCAACTAAAAATATATAGAAAAAAATAGCCAGGCATGGTGGCACATGCCTGTAGTCCCAGCTACTCAGGAGGCTGAGGCAGTAAGATTGCTTGAGCCCAGGAGTTTGAGGTTGCTGTGAGCTAGGCCATGACACTCTAGCCCAGACAACAGAGCAAGACTCTGTCTCAAAAAAATAAATAAATAAATAAGATACACCTCACTGGAAAATGATCCCACAGAAATCCAGGTACAAGGCTGTGTCCTATGCCCTCAACTGCCTTAACTGCCATCCACTGATCCAGAAAGAGTCATACCCCACAGTCTTCCCAAAGCAGAGCAAAAGTATATCCCAGATTGTAGTGCTTGGGAGTGTACAAGGGGCTGGTTGTCTCTGCTGCTGACACATGTAAGTCCAAGACATTGCCTAAACCTCCCTTGGCCTTGGTTTCTCACTGTGAAGTATGGGGTCATAACAAAGCCCTTTACCATCCCCTATTCCTCTCATAATATGAACCTCTTTCCTCAGGCTTGGTTCCTGTTTCAGGTGCTTATACATTCATCCTTTTAAGGAGCTCATTACCTTCCTTTCCTAGTGATTGTCTTTCCAGTCTTGTGCTCCTCTCTCTGCTCTGGATGCTTACATGTCATGAGTCTACTTCATCTCTACACACACTTTATAAACATGCATGTATGTCCTGGCACACTGGATGTGCAGAACAAATGTTTGCAGAAGGAATGAATGAATGTAAGAAAAGAAATTAATTGCTTCTTGCATTCTTTCAATATTTAGCAAGTGCCTAAAATATGCATAGATACTAACCAACCTGTCCCTCTACCCTCTAAGATTATTCTTCTCCTCCCTTTCTCATCTTCCTCCTTTCCCATCCTATTTCTTCCTTTTCCTGTGTGACAGAGCTAGACAGTGCTCCGCAAGGCAGGATGCAGAGACACAGGAGCAGGCTGATGGAAACAGACACTATGGAAAGGAGCCAGATGAAATAAGGTCAAAGACAGCTGCATTATACGTAGAGACAGACCAGAATGAAAAGCCATGATTCACAGAGCACTGCAACTGAGATACTCCTTAGGTTTCACTTTGAGAGCTACTGAGGGATTGAGGTCAATGAGGGCTGGCATAAAGATGGACAGCCAGGCTCCACCTCCCTGGTTCCCTTAATTCTTGTCTCCCCACCCCACCCCCACTACTCCCTCACATTGACCAGTGTCCTGGGCCTTTAAGAGTTGGATGGGCTGGACTAAGGAGAGAGCTCATACCTCTGTCCACCCCACTCCTTCCCTCTGGCTCTAACTCTGCCAATCACAGCAGCAAACTGCAGTGGAAGAGGAGAGGAAGCAAGCGAGTGCAAGAGGAGCAAAGGAGAAAAGCCAGGCTGAGCTTCCTCATCCAAGTGGAGACCATTGCAGAGCTCAGGAGGCATAGCTCACAGACACAGGACTGCAATTCTGCTATCCTGCCCACGGTAAGGGCCTGGACGCTCTGACCAGCCTCTGCTCTAAACTCTGTCTTGCCTGAGTCTCTAATTCTGCCCTCCAGATATTAATCCATCCTGATTAAATTGTTTCCTAGACTCCTTTACCTACCCCAACAGCTCTACAGGGATCTGAACTGGTTCTCTCCAGTTTATCCTCTTTGATTCTTACAGTTTTACTCCTGGCTGTATCAGTTACCCCTATATATGAGGAACCTCTTAGCTGTGCAGAGCCAGCAGTGATCCTGCCACACCTCAGAGGTGAGAACCACCTCCAGTAAGAGAAGAGAAAGAATTGAAGTAGCCAAGCTTTAGCCTAGATTCATTAACAGATTGTTGAGGCTTGCAAAATGAAGGTTGGCCAAAACCCATGGGGAGTCAGAAACCCTTGGTAATAGAGAAAAAATTATGAGACTTCCTTGGAAATAGTCAGGGTTTGAGTTTTATGCCTCATTCTTTGCCTGCTCAATGGGCCAGAGCAATTTCTTGGTCCACAGAGCGCTATGCTGGAAAGAACACTTGCTTCTAGTCCTGCCTCTGCCATTAGCTAGCTATGGGACTTTTGAACCACAACTTCCTGATATGTGATAGAGAGTTTAGGGTTTCTCAGACTTTCCCATGTACCAGATGTGCTTATTAAATATATTCGTGAAGCCTATCCTTAGAAATTCTGATCTAGTAGATTTGGGGTAAAGCTAAAGAATTCACATTTTAAGGCATTCTCCAGGGGATGTTGATATAGTTGGGAACCTCTGGATTAGATGTGTTATAATAGAACTTTCCAGCTCTAACATTCCAAGGGCTATGACCTCAACCAGAGCATTCCATCTTCTTTATATGAACCAGGTTAGGCATCATCCTTCTCTGAAGCAAAGGAATAGACAAAATGATTCTCTTTCTTCCTGCCCCTCAGAGAGTCCTAAGACATCGTGAATCCCACTGTAAGCTCATTGGTGCCGTTGGCGACTCTGCCAAAGTCCATCTCTAGGTGATGTGAAGCCACTCAGAAGCTGAGGACCAAATCTGCAGCCCGGGGCTACTTCCCACCTTATTTTGTGTCTCTGTTTTCCCACCTATATGAGAAAAGTAATTATCTGTATCCTTGAAGATCTCCATATACGTGTCTAGGAGTTCATATTTAAGATCTAAGCTCTCTTACTCTCAGACATCATCCTCTGTGCCCTTGATGGTACCTGCCCCCTCCAAACCCTTTGTTCCTTCCCTCTTCACTACATCTACATCAGCTGTGACCATCCTTCCCAACCTACCTTCAGACACCAGAGGAAACACCAAGACCCAGAATATCTATGTTCTAGCTTACATTCTCTGGGCAGTTTTTTTGGTCAATCTCCTAGGATACAGCAGAGGGACATGCTAATGAGTATCTGAACCCAAATGTCCTCCTCTTGGACCACAGTCTCAAAATCCTCAAAGGGGATGAGAATCAGAGCTATTGGGAATTAGTGGAGACAAAAAAGGGAACCTACAGGAAGAGGTGATGGGGAGAAGGGATGAGAAGGATGAGGAGAGGCTGACTTAAGTGAGTAAACAGGAAAACAGAGAGAGAATCAAAAGAGGGAAGAGTGAGCTGGGGAGAAAAGAAAAGGACTGAGCCAGGCATGGGTTGAGGAAAGGAAAGAAAATGGGAAGAAAGAAAAGAAGGCTACTCAGTAGAATACAGAGGGAACAAAAAATGATGGAGGAGTGAGACAAAATGTCAGTGTCGCTCATTGATTTTTAGCCTTGCTTCAACCTGCTTCAGACTCTTTCTAAGGGCAAAGTCTTGGTAAGATCCCTAAGATGGTTGTATGGAGACCTGGGTTCTAATTCTAGTTCTGTCACTTATTAAGTGACTTTGGCAGTTCACCTAATCTTTCTAGTCCTCAGGTTCCTTCTCTGTAAAATGAAGTCCAGCTCTGATATTCTGTGGCTCCCTGAGTTGAAACTGGCACTCTTATGGTGGCCACATGTCACCTGGATACCGAGTTTGTTTGTTTTTTCTCTTTTCCTTTTTTCTTTTGGAGACAGGGTCTCTCACTCTGTTGCCCGGGCTAGAGTGCCATGGTATCAGCCTAGCTCACAGCAACCTGGAACTCCTGGGCTCAAGCGATCCTCCTGCCTCAGCTTCCCAAGTAACTGGGACTACAGGTGTGTGCCACCACACCCGGATAATTTTTTTATTTTTAGTAGAGACAGGGTCTCACTCTTGCTCAGGCTGGTCTTGAACTCCTGAACTCAAGAGATCCTCCCGCCTTGGCCTCCCAGAATATTAGGATTACAGGCGTGAGCCACTGCACCTGGCCTGGATACTGGTTTTAAATAGTGATTTCTGAATGAGAGCAAAAGTAGAAAAACATAGCCATGGCTGGGATTGGAAGACTTGCACCAAGGAGGAAAAAATAATTTTCTAAGACTGGTTTTAGAGGAGAGAGTCTCCAAAATAGGGGTGTTCAGGTACTTGGGCTCTGTTATCAGGTTTCCCATGTTTCAGGACATCATTGTGAGAAACACAGAGGTCAGGGAAGGTAATTCCATGTTCTTGCAGGCCCATAGCTCACCCTAACCCAGAGTCCCTATGCCCCAGAGATAGGAGCTGAAATTTAGAGAGGAGATAAGACAGGGTGTTGGCAAGGGAGATTAGCCTTCAGCCCCATGCCAACTTCACTCCCCTATAGTTTGAGGAGCTAAGAAATTTAAGAGAGACCTATTACTTTCTACTTTAGTCATAAAGCTTCTGTAAACCTCATAAGAGACTCTGTTTCTCAGAAAGCACTTTAGGTACCTTCCTCCATCCAGAGCTTTCTTCTGGTCTCTCCCAGGCAGAAATATTCTTTTCCTCCTTGAACTATTTCTCTCCTGAGAGACTGCTTCCCAAAATTCCCCTCTCATTCTGAGTACCTGCACACTGCTACCCCTTTAGAAAGCCTTCTCTAGGTCCTGTATTCAGGGAAGCTACATTTTCAGTGACCCGCACATTCTCCTTGAATCTCAGTCTTTCTTAGATAACTTTATAGGGTCTTCCCACTAAAGAGAGATAGGACACTAATATACTATGTGGTCTCAGACAAGTCACATCATATTTCTGGACTTCTGGTTTTTCATCTGTAAAATATAGGGAGTTGAACTGCATGTTGTATTTATTAATGGAATATTAGCTGAATAATTGCTTTATGGATTTTTTTAGTTGTTTTAGATGTTCACCACTGTCAAATTTTAAACTTTTAAATTAAAAAATACAACATATTTCTATTTGAGTGTAGGTTCTGTGCTTATACAGAAGAACAGAGCTTGCTCAGGTGCAGTGGCTCACACCTGTGATCCCAGCACTTTGGGAGGAAGAGGTGACAGGATCACTTAAAGGCCAGGAGTTCAAGACCAGTCTGGCAACAAAGGGAAACCCTGTCTCTACCAAAAAAAAGGAAAAGAAAAGAAAAAGAAAAAAATTAGCTAAGTGTGGTGGCATATACCTGTAGTCTTAGCTACTTGGGAGGCTAAACCAGGAGGATCACTTGAACTTAGGTTAGAAGCTAAAGATTGCAGTGTGATCACACCTCTATACACCAGCTTGGGTGACAGAGCAAGACGCTGTCTCAAAACACACACACACACACACACACACACACACACACACACACAGCATAGGGCTTTATGTTTCATGAGTTTTGTCAGTTTGATCTAGTCAAGAGTTGAATATTTCTACAAAGGCAGAGCTAGAATCACTGTGGCCACATATCAAATTTCTAGCTCTTTTCAAGGGAAGTTTGTTATTAGCTACTAGGACAACTTAACTAGATCCTAAATTGGACAGCATATATCTTAAAGGAGGTACCCTTTTTTAGTAGACAGAGAAAATTTGAAAATGCAGTTCTAAGACTTGTGTAACTTGTTTGGTCCATTATAACTATGAGAATAACTGCTATGAAAAAGAGTATAAAATATGCTTTATACCATGTGAAGGTGAAAGACAACTAAGTGTTATAGAAGAGACAAAAGAAATACTCTGTTCTAGCCCTTCAGGAGATAGACAGTCTACATGGGAGTATGGCAAGGGCTCCAAGAATAGGGAAGCTGGGATGATTCCACCTAGAAGAGAGAAGGCTAGGGTATGGAGAGACTCCAGGTTCTGAAAGGGGACAGCCAGCAAGATGGTGGTTCCTAATAATGAAAAGATGGGGAGTATTCAAAGAGTGGCACAAGATTACCTAGTAGATTGTGAAGTATTAGGTAGGAGGAAGGTGTTTGACAGCTGCCCTGGTTTAGCCCTCTCCAGAGATAGCCATGGAAAACAACAGAGGCTCTGAGATCAACTATATCTGGGGTTAAATTCAGATCCCATGTCATTTGAGGCAGGTTCCTTAGTCTATCTAAGCCCCAGAGTCACCACACTCAAATTAGAAGTAAAAATAGCTACAGACTATGTAGATGAAGTGCCTGACACATAGTGGGCACCCAGGAAACACTAGTTTCCTTTTCTTACTCCCTTGATCTCAAGATTCGCCCAAAGCCCTTTGTTCCTCCTTGCTCCTTTAGGTGACTCTGGCGCCAACTGGTGGAGCAGTGGGTGATGGCATCCCTGCTGCAAGACAGTGAGTACCCTTGCAGGGGAAGAGGGCTTGGTGGACAGCCCAGGGAAGGGGAGGAGTCTGGACCCCTGTTCTGGAGCTCCTCCTGGGCCTTCTACCATCCCTGCTGGCTACCTAGCACCTGCTTTTCCTGGCTCAGAGCTGACCACTCATCAGGACCTGCTGCTGATGCAGGAAGGCATGCTGATGTACAAGGTGAAGTCCAAAACCTGGAAGAAGCTAAGATACTTCAGACTCCAGAATGATGGCATGACAGTCTGGCAAGAGCGGCAGACCTGGGGCAAGGCCAAGCCCAGCTGTGAGTGACCTGGATAGCTAGGGTTGGGCACATGGGTGGATAGGGCCCTGCAGCCTGAGGGAAGGGGAGGGACCAGGGTCCTACAATAGTGTGTCCTTGTGCTGTCCCACTGTGGCTATGTCTGAGCCTGTAAAAGGAGGTTATAACGGCACTTGCCTTATAAGGTATTATGAGGATTAAATTACTTGTTGCATATATAGAGCTCATAAGAGACCTAGAACATAGTAAGATTCAATAAATCATAAGTTTATATCTTATTATTATTATAAGAACATGATCTCAGGCATCAGCCTGGCTGAATTAAAGCCCTGGCTCTGCCAATTTCTAGCTAGGTGGTTTCAGACAAGTCAAGTAATTAAACTAAGCTTCAGTTTCGTCATCTGTAAAATGGGGATTAAATAGTACCTGCCTATTAGGTTACAGGGACTCAATGAATTAACATGTAAAGCACTTAACATGAGATCTGAAACCAGGATGCATTTAATAAATGTTAGCCATTATGACAAATATTTTTAAATAACAAATATATACCATAACAGTGTGCATCCTATAGGCCAAACTCTTTATGATACCTATAAAAATTTGATCACAGGACACATCTAAGAGAGTCTGCTTTAGAGACATAATCAAAGCTCATGATCCACACCACCCCCAGCTGAGGTAAGGGGGTGGAAGAATTTCTCTGGCTCCCTCTTAGACATCTAGAAAGAGGAAGCCCTCAAACCTGGAATGGAAGAACTGAACTAGGGCATATAATGCTTTGTTGTAATTGCTTCTACCCTTCAAATATGTTTCCATTTGTCATTCCCACCAGTCCTCCTGTGATCACCATCAGGACTGGCCACAGAAGGGGACCATCCATTATTTATGATGAGGACAGTGAGGGGTTAAGTTGTTTTGGTTTGTGTCACACTGCCAGCTGGTGGCTGGAAGCCAGGTCTTGCGTTTCCAGCACAGGCTCCTTGCCATGCTGCCCATGCAAACATCAATGACTTGCATGGACTCATGAATTCCAGGGGTCTATGTCTCTCTGTACTAATGCTTTTTGGGATTCAGCCTGCAGAGGCTGGGGTTCCTCCTTTCTGTGGCTTCATGGAGAAGAGGGTGCTGGCCCTTAACTCTTAGCCCCTATAATTTGTTGGACTCCTTTCCTTAGTGCTTCCACCTGCTTCTTCTCTGGCAGTTTCAATCTCTGATGTGGAGACAGTGCGTAAGGGCCACGATTCTGAGTTGCTGCGCAGCCTGGCAGAGGAGTTCCCGCTGGAGCAGGGCTTCACCGTTGTCTTCCATGGCCGCCGCACCAACCTGGACCTGGTGGCCAACAGTGTTAAGGAGGCTCAGATCTGGATGCAAGGGCTCCAGCTGTTGGTGGACCTTGTCACCAGCATGGACCAACAGGAACAGCTGGACCAGTATCAGCAGGATGGAGTCAGAGTAGGGGTTGGGGGGGGTGAGGGACACTGAAGGAGCCAGATGCTGCAGGTCTAGGGAAGGTGGGAAGGGGTGTGGGGTTAGAGAGGCCCAAGGGTCCATATGCCAGCAAGGGTAAGGACAGCTCAGGCCAATGTGAGGCTGAAGATACTGAGGGAGGAATGGATGCTAGGGGTGGTAAAGACATAGCGAGGCAGAGTTTGGGCATGAGTCAGGACATCCAGGATTGAAAGAAGAGCCAGTAAGCTGCTGAGAGCTGAACAGATATCAGTGTCATTAACTACCATAGGGCTAGGAAGCAACCCCTTTGACAGCTTGGGGCATAGATTCACTTCAAGTTTGCTGGATTATATGCCAGTTTGTTCATTTATTCATTCATTTACCATCTATTAAGCAGAATGTATCAGGCACTATGCCAAGCTATAGGAATACAAAGATTAATGAGACTCCGATATTGCTTCAGTTAGTAGAAACGATGGAATTGTATAAATAAGTGCCATAGAAGTGGTAAAGTACTTATATGATTTGTGAGTATTTAAAGGAAAGATATTTAATTCTACCTGAGAGCATTCTAAAAAAGCTTCAGGAAAGAAATAGGATGTGAGCTGGGCCTTGAAAATGAGTAGAATACAAGCATGAAGAGACGAGGAGGGAAAGGCACTCCAGTCTAAGGAAACAGAATGAGTAAAGGCCCAGAAAGCAACTGAGGAGAAGAGAGAAAGAGAGAGTGGGACATCAGAGAACAGGGAGTTGCTGAGTCTGGCTAAAGTGCAAGGAGGACAGAGATGTATTGAGAGGTTGGGTTGGGCCCAGATCACAAGGACAAAGAAGTCTTAATTTTTTTTTTTTGAGACAGAGTCTCACTTTTGTCGCCTGGGCTAGAGTGCAGTGGTGTCATCACAACTTACAGCAACCTCAAACTCCTGTGCTCAAGTGATCTTTCTGCCTTAGCTTGGGTAGCTTAAGACCACAGGCGTGCCTCACAATACTCAGTTAATTTTTCTATTTTTAGTACAGGTGGGGGTCTCACTGTTGCTCACGCTGGTCTTGAATTCCTGAGCTCAAGTGATCCTCCTGCCTTGGCCTCCCAGAGTACAGGTGTGAGCCACTGTGCCAGGCCCAATGGCATGATCTTAACTTCTATGTTAAGGAATATGGATTTCTTTCTGCAGGCCACAGGGAGGTATCTGCAGGCACCTGAGCCATGCAGTGACAAGATAGATTGGTACTCTGGAGAGATTATTCTAGAAGCTATATGGAAAATGGATTTGCACTAGGGAGAAACTGGCAGCAAAGACAAGGGAGAGATGTCAGTGGATTAACATGCATACACAAACACACACATATGGTGCTTTTTGCCTTAACTCAGACCTGGATGGCTAAGTGACTGGTTCCAGCGTGGAGACAAAAACCAGGATGGTCGGATGACTTTCCAAGAAGTTCAGCGGTTACTGCACTTGATGAATGTGGAAATGGACCAAGAATATGCCTTCAATCTTTTCCAGGTAAGTCTACTGGGGAAAGATTTGCAGGGGCCAGCCAGGCCACATTTTCCCTTGGCTATAAGTCCTCTGACCCTAATAAGCTACACTCAGTTGTTGAATCTCTGCTATGTGCCCTAGCACCATCCCAGGCTCAGTGGCAAGTATAGGACATGATTCTTGCCCTTCAGTCTTGTTGGAAAGGTGAGTCATAATTCTATGAAAGGTAAATAACAATATGTTATATTGTGCCTCAAGGATCTCTCTGTCCATGGCCAGAATTTTGCAGGTACATAGAGCAATGGAAAGCCCCAGTTGGGATGAGAGCAAATAGGAGGAGGAATTTTTTGACCTTTGGGACCTTTGGGAAATTTAACTCTAGTTGAAATTTTTCTCTAGTAGCAAATGGTATGCTAAAATTTTACTTTTTACTTACTGAATTGATTTCTTCTATTAACACTAAATGGCAGGAGTTCTATGGGAGTTTTATGGAAGCATATTTTATGGAAGCATGTTTTATGGAAGTATGTCTGTCAGTAAGATTATCCTCACAGGGCAAGTGCAGGTCATAAAATTTCCCATTAAAGGGTTCATCCACTCTCCCTAAACCCTCTCTTACAGACAGCAGATACTTCCCAGTCTGGGACTCTAGAGGGAGAAGAATTTGTACAGTTCTATAAGGCATTGACTAAGCGTGATGAGGTGCAAGAACTGTTTGAAAGCTTTTCAGCTGATGGGCAGAAGCTGACCTTGCTGGAATTTTTGGATTTCCTCCAAGAGGAGCAGAAACAACGAGACTGTGCCCCTGAGCTTGCTCTGGAACTTATTGACCGCTATGAACCTTCAGACAGCGGTAAGAGCAACCAGATGGAGAGGCATCAGACATGGGTGTTGGGGGAAGCTGAGGCCACCCTACCCTGGCCCCTTGCCCAGTTATCTCATTTAGCCACTCATTCTGAAAGAGAACAGCCATTGCCTGCCTGGACAAGACAGAGGTCTCCTCTGTAATGCTAGATCTATCAGGAAGAAGAAGTTTCCATAGGTTTCCTTTCCTCTGCCATACTTATGTTTCATATCCTTTACTTTCAGGAAGTTCTTCCTGATATCAACCTCATCCTCAATGGAAATGGAAAACTCTTGTTCTTCTTGCTTTGGCCTCTTCTTTAGTGCAACTGATCCCTTTTCCTCTGGTTCTTCTTCATGGCTCCTGTTTGCTGTCCCTTTAAATGCAGGCTCTCTACTCTTTCCTGGGCTTTCTTCAAATTCTCCAAGTTGTTTTTAAGTCTCTAAAGACCTGAGCCAAAAGCTAGTCATCCCCTGGCTGGGGGGGGGGGGGCTGACGAAGAGGCCAATTACTTAGGTTTTAACAAGTGCAGCTAAAATATGCCCTCTTGGTCCTCAAACCTTCCTCCCTTTGCCCTTTCTATAAGCTCATTTCTTGCCCTCCATTCTCTTCAGAGTGTGAGGAATTTACATTAATAATAAATGATTTACAATACAAGCCATTTTCACATTTCTCACTTCATTTAATCTTCACTAAAACCTTGTAAATCAACAGCAATAATCTTTATTGGACCTGTGCTAAGTATCCCATAATGCACTAATATCTCTACATGCCTTTTCGAATCCAGTGTCCTGTTGAAATGGCTTCTGTTCTTAAGTTAGTTGTATAAAAGAGGAAACCTGAGGTTTAGAAAGATTAAATGTCTTGTTCAAAGCCAATAGCTAATGAAAGAGGAATTAGGATTCAAATCCAGGTCATCTGATTCTTACCTGTTGCCTCCCTTGAGAATGAGGGTAAGAGATGGGATGATTGAGAGCTGGGCAAGCGATCCTGGTTTCCTGGGCCTCAACTCCCACTCATTCATTCATTTACTACTTCAGCTAAGGCTTATTGAGTACTACCTAATATATCAGGCCCTATGTTAGGCACCAGAGATACAGCAGTGCCTAGGTCAGACAAGGACACTGCCCTCATGAACTTAGAGTCAAAGAGAAAGTATAGAATTAGTGATTCCAGATTTGTGTGGGTGTTCAGAGAATAATGGAGTCTGTAAGGCAATCATTTCAGAAAATGAAATTGAAGAGGGTGAAGGCATAGGATCTTCTGTTCTTAGTGCAGGAGCCAGTTATATATCAGTTGCATTTATTCTATCCCCACTCATCTTGGTTTTCCCTCCCCTTGCACTTAACAATCAAATACTACACTCTGACTGCAGAATGTAGTATCAGTCAAAAAATCTGGGCTCAAGTCCCCACTCTGTTTCTTATTGACTGAGTAACCTTGGGAAAGTCACTTAACTTCTCTGTGATTCAATTGTCTCATATCTAAATAATTAGTGATCAAATGAAATAATGCACATAAAAAGTACCTGGCAACTGTGAATTTCCCTGAGCAGTTTGAATTATAACCGTCAAGAATGAAACTTCTGGCCCAACTTCCTGTCATTCTTCACCATCTCCAGGCCTTGTGAAACCTGGAGCTAGGAAGCTGGGCTCATGAAAGTCAAGTTGTTCCCCCACTCAAGCCTCCCTGCGACAACATAACTCTCAGTGAGATTGCACAGTCCAATGGTGCAGGGCATGGCTCTGACAGCTGGCTCCGTAGGTTCAAATCCCAGCTTCTCCAATTTCTAGTTGTGTGACCTGGGGCAAGTTACCTAACCTCTCATGGCAGATTATATTTACCTCATCATGTTAGTGACAGCATTAGTGAGATGCTTCATGTAATGTCCTTGGCATAGAGTAAACGTTCAATTACTGTTAGTCATCATTGTTGTTATTATATAAAACTCAGGCTGAGATGGGTGAGAGCTACGGAAGAAGTAGCAGGGCCCTTCCCCCAAAGAGAGTGTAGTCTAATATTGACAAATGCTCCTCAAAACTTCACATGGGAGCTATATGGGTGGAAAAAACCTCAGGTCATAGTGGCAGCTACACGGCCCAATGAAGAAAACATAGGTACCTTGGTTGTGTCACTTACAAGTTTTAAACAGTTTCCCCATCCATAAAATTAGCCCTTTGGATACTGTAATGTCCATTATGGTAACTGTGAATTCCATTGTGGCTATTTAAATTTAAATTAACTAAAATAAAATTTAAAATTCAGTTCCTCAGTCATAACAAGCCACATTTAGGGTGCTCAATAGCCACATGAAACTGAGGCTACTATATCTGACACTGCAGAATAGAATATCATAGAAAGTTCCAGTGACCTTTTTTTTTGGTTCCCAGTGGCTTCCAAATTGAATTATCTTAATGATTCTCTTCAATATTCTCTGAGGGTGGGAATGATTCAGTTGATAAACACTGGGTGGAGCAAGTTTGGCTACTGAAGGCTAGGAATGGAAAGGCAGGACCCTGGAGGGGCTGTGGTGGAAGATGGGTTGTAGCTGTACCAGGATGTTCCTACTCAGAGCTTCTCACTTTAGTGTTCCCCACTCCACACCCTAGGCAAACTGCGGCATGTGCTGAGTGTGGATGGCTTCCTCAGCTACCTCTGCTCAAAGGATGGAGACATCTTCAACCCAGCCTGCCTCCCCATCTACCAGGATATGACTCAACCCTTGAGCCACTACTTCATCAACTCCTCGCACAACACCTACCTAATGAGAAATCAGCTTTGTGGCCAGAGCAGCGTCGAGGGATATATATGGTGCATTGGTGGGAGAGATGGGTCCCGATCATGACAGAGGTCATCTGTGGGAATCTGAAGGGCGCTGTCAGTGTGTAACAGATTGAGAAGGTGTTGTGTGGAGGGGTGGGTAGTGGCTGAGGGTCTCTGAACACCTGAGGCACTTGGAGGAGACATTGAATACTGATAGGAAAATGGCAATGAAACTCTATGGGTAAATGGAACTTCTCTCTCTTTTGTAAGCTATGAAACTCTCTTAGAACTCAGAGGCCCTGAAAGATTTATAATGAACAAGTAAAGTGAATGTTAAATGGAAGGCAGTAGAGCATAGGAATTAAAAACATAGGTTCTGGAGTAAAACCATCTGAGGTCAAATTTTAGTTCCCTCACTTGGTACTCTGGGGCTAAATATTTAACTTCTGTATGTCTCAGTTTTCCCATCTATGAAATAGGGATGATAACAGCATCTGGGGTTGTTGTAAAGATGCAATGAGATAATCCATGTGTCAATAGCTAATAAGTGGTAGCTCCTTTTATTATGATTAATGATGGATTCAATTGAATAGTCAAGATAGCTTTGTAGTGCCAGCACTGAACTAGTAGCTTTAAGGGATATAGAGATGAGTGGAACATACAGTGTCTACCTTAGGGAGTCTAGTTGAGAAAATAAGGTATACATTTACTGAGAATTTGAATAATCCAGGTGTTATATAGGGATATAAAACCAGAACACCAGAAGTTTCATGAGCCAATGTGTGGTGGGTTATAATGGAAAGATTTTTGAGTTGGGTGGGGTGAGATAGTGTAGAGATCAGTGTGAGCTGCAGCAGTGTCCCAGTGGACAGAGAAGGCTCCATGGAGATGTAGGTTGAAGGGGTCTGGATGGATAAGTGGGTAAGGTCTCTCTAGAGTGGGGAGAGGGTCCTTAAGTGAAAGATCAGATCTTAACCTCTCTGGTCTCTGGGGATTGGGTTTCTTGCAGGGCCCTGAAGCAGGGGTGCCGCTGTGTAGAGGTGGATGTATGGGATGGACCTAGTGGGGAACCCATCGTTTACCATGGACACACCCTGACCTCCCGAATCCTATTCAAAGATGTTGTGGCCACAATAGCACAGTATGCCTTCCAGGTAGTAGCCCCAGGATGGAACATTGGTGAGGCAAGAAGGTCTGAGGGAAGAGTGACTGGCTCTGGGTCTCAGGAGGGTAGAGGGGCCCAGTGCAGGGGGGTGGGGGCTGTTGGTGGCTTGCATCAAATAGGATTATATGTGTAAAAGAAGTCTTAACGGAAAAGCATCAGGCAAATATTAAAGGATCATTATGAATAAGTGTTGGATATGTTACTAGTAATTAGTAGTCATAGAGGTAATTATAAATTATTAGTAACTATTATTTCTAAGCTCTATCACCCATCTAGAAGACTGTAGACAGGAAATAGACAGTGGTGAGTAGGGCTGAAGGGTAATAGGAGTGTAACGTGAACACATAAACCGGAATGCTCAAAGGTCCCAGAGGGACCTGGGTTGGACTTGACACAGGCAAGAGATTAGGTATCCTAAGATGTAGATATCCCTTTAGATGTAGATAGTGTCCCTGGGTGGGCTTCAGACCCAGCAAACTCTCATTGAACCCTGTAATGGGGTTGGAAGAGTTTAGCAATTAGGGTATCCATTTGAATGAGTAAATAGGAGGGCCTAGGAAGCAGGTGTTTGGAGGAGGTGACAGGGCTTTAGAACTCTGGATCCAGTGTCCCCTCCCCTCACCACCAGACATCAGACTACCCAGTCATCTTGTCTTTGGAGAACCACTGTAGCTGGGAACAGCAGGAGACCATGGCACGCCATCTGATTGAGATCCTCGGGGAGCAACTGCTGAGCACCACCTTGGATGGGCTGCTGCCCACTCAGCTGCCCTCGCCTAAGGTAGGGACCCTATTCCCACATCTCAGACTCTACCATGGCTTCCATGTTCCCTCACCTTGGCCCCTTCCTCCATACTCCTCTTGTTTCCTTCTTTTTATCCTCAGATGGACCATCTTGCTCTTTAACATCCTTGGAGACAACTTTAATTTTTAAAAAATCTAATTGAACACAGAATCCTATTTATAGTTTTCTAAGTTTCAAATCAATTATTTACCTTATATTTCTATTTTCAATGAAACTATCTTAATTTTTTCCTAATAGTTCATAATTTTTGTAGACTATACAAACAATATAAAGGGAAACACCCCCCATTATAATCCCAGCCTCTCCCTTAATGATAGACAGCTATCAATAGATCTTTTCATTTGACCAGCCTAAAAAACAAAATAGATCTTTTAATGCTTATATAAACATCTATTTGTGTATAGTCACATTTTTAAAAAGCATGAATGATATCACCCTCTATATCTTTTTGTGTCTTACATATATATCATGAATGTCTTTTCATATATAATATTTTCCTTTTTAACAGTTCTATAGTATTCCATTTTATGTTAGTTAATCAGAGTCTATGATAGACATTTGGGTTGTTTCATCTGTACATATAGCTTTGTCCATTTACTATCTTTGAAACGAAATTCTAGAAGCAAAATTGCTGGGTTGAAGAGTTTACATTCTGATAATTTTGGTTTTTGTTGTCAACTTGCCCTCTGGAAAAAATATCAAATTACACTTCAATCGATAGAAGAGAATGACCACAAATAATTCCAGGAGTGAGATAATTTATGATGGCAAACATTGAAAAAAATAAGGTTACATTTTTTTTTTTTTTTGAGACAGAGTCTCACTTTGTTGCCCAGGCTAGAGTGAGTGCCGTGGCGTCAGCCTGGCTCACAGCAACCTCAAACTCCTGGGTTCAAGCGATCCTGCTGCCTCAGCCTCCCAAGTAGCTGGGACTACAGGCATCCGCCACTATGCCCGGCTAATTTTTTTTTTTTTTTTTTTTTTTGAGACAGAGTCTTGCTTTGTTGCCCAGGCTAGAGTGAGTGCCATGGCGTCAGCCTAGCTCACAGCAACCTCAAACTCCTGGGCTCAAGCAATCCTCCTGCCTCAGTCTCCCAAGTAGCTAGGACTACAGGCATGCGCCACCATGCCCGGCTAATTTTTTCTATATATATTAGTTGGCCAATTAATTTCTTTCTATTTATAGTAGAGACGGGGTCTCGCTCTTGCTCAGGGTGGTTTCGAACTCCTGACCTTGAGCAATCCGCCCGCCTCGGCCTCCCAGAGTGCTAGGATTACAGGCGTGAGCCACCGCGCCCGGCCTAATTTTTTTTTCTATATATATTAGTTGGCCAATTAATTTTCTTTCTATTTATAGTAGAGACGGGGTCTCACTCTTGCTCAGGCTGGTTTCGAACTCCTGACCATGAGCAATCCGCCCACCTCGGCCTCCCAGAGTGCTAGGATTACAGGCGTGAGCCACCACGCCCGGCCAAGGTTACATTTTTTTAAAAGTCCATGTTTTCTTCTTTTGAATTATTTGATAATTTTTACTCACATTAGAGTTTATAATTTTTATTGATATATACTAATAATTCTTTAAATGTTAAAAATATTAATCTTTGGAAAATATTTTTGCAGCCTATCTTTTCTTTTGTCTTTTTAGCATCTTTCACCTTACTGAAGTTTTTAAGCCTTATGTAGTCAAATCTGTCTATTATTATTATTTTTTTGGGGGGGAGCAAACCACGTGGCTTTATTATACACTCATGGATGAGGTTCTGGGGCCCCAAGAGAGGGGGGTCCCAGAAGTCGCCACTGTTTGAAGGGGCTGAGCCCTTTTATACCCTTTGGGCGGGGCAGGGACTTTTGGCGGGAAGAGCTGGGGATTTTAGGAGGGGCTGGAGGTATTTGTGGAATCCAAGAGCCAAAACATTCTTATCCAGGTGGACATCTGGATGTGGTTCCTCTCAGAGGGGCCTGGCAGTTTTGTCCTTGGCGAGTCTGGTCTCATGAGCCTTTTCTTTTTTGATCTAGGGAAGGGAGGGGGCCCACCACCAGCCTTACATTCTGGCCTTTTGGTTATGATGCGCGCTGCTCTTTCTGACTACTTCCTGCTTGGAAGGGGTGTAGTTATAGGCCAAGGTCGGCTGGTGGAGGGGTGATTGGTAGTGTCAATTATTTTTAATGTTTTCTGAGGTTTTGTTTTGTTTTGTTTTGTTTTTTTTTGAGACAGGGTCTCACTCCATCACCTGGGCTAGAGTGCAGTGGTATCATCATAGCTCACTGCAACCTCAAATTCCTGGGCTCAACTGATCCTCCTTCCTGAACCTCCCCAGTAGCTGGGACTATAGGCATGCACCACCATGCCTGGCTAATTTTTCTATTTTTTATAGAGACAGGGTCTTGCTTTGTTGCTCAGCCTCGTCTCAAGTGATTTTCCCACCTCAGCTTCCAAAAGTGTTAGGATTACAGGTGTGAGCTGCTGTGCCCAATTGAGTTTTCGTATCATGTTTATAAAGGTGTTCTCCCCATAAGATTATTCAGAAAGATTCTCTATTTTCTTTTCCCATTTTTACATTCTTTATATTTACATGAAAATCTTTATGAGGAGCTTTTAGTGTGTCAAATGTGAGGTAGGGGTCCACATTTTTTCCCCATATGGATAGAAATGTTACAAGTTTGCTTAACAATAAGAGAATTCCTACTGTATGTATCAAGATGCTGATCTCTTCCTGTGGGAACTTCTGACTACCCACTCACTTCCTCTGTTTTTGAGAACAATGGAAACTGAATGATCCACTGGAGGGCCCCAGAGCAGACATAGTCAGGCCTCTTAATTTTTGTTCCCTAGGAGCTTCGGAGGAAGATCTTGGTGAAGGGGAAGAAATTAGATGCGCTTGAGGAGGATCTTAAGGAGGAGGAAGAGGAGGAAGAGGAGCCAGAGTCTGAGCTGGAACGACAGCCAGAGTCAGAATCGGTGCTAGAGTCCCAGTGTGAGACAGAGCCCAAGCCTGAGCTCCAGAAGCTGAGACCTTTGAGTAAGGACAAAAAGCAGAAGGTAGGCCAGGAGTGGTCTTTCTGCTGTGGCATTTGGTCAGCCTGCACCACAAGCTGAAGGCCTATTTGTGAAGAGACTAGAGCCAGGCAAAGTGGAAAGCCAAGATGCAAAATGATACTTCCTTCCCAATGGAAGAGGCATAAGAATGCATACATGGCATCACTATATATTGCAGTGGTTTTCCAACTTCTCTGGGCCATGAAATCTTTTTCTTTTTTTAAATAAAATCTTACATGGAAGCTCAGTATACAAAATAGATAAATGCAGAGCCATCCTACTTGAAACACCCATTTGGCTCTCTCCTGGGTCTCCCAGGTTGCTCCTGAGACATCTTTGTACTTCTCAGTCTTCTTAAAGACCAGTTTGAAAACCACTGATGGGAGTGTGTGTACATGTGTAGCATTATTATATTGGGTAAGCGGGGTTAGTTGAATGATTGTTGTGACTTCAATTAAGAAAGACTTAGAGAAAGATTCTTGGAAAGGGTGAGTTTGAGGAAGGGCCAGAAACAGCTAAAGAGGAGCAGGAAGGGGAGAGCTTTGTAGTGGGGAGGGTGAAGGCTCTGATAAGATTGTGTCAGAGTGGTCCATCTCCCTATGGGGAAAGGAGGTAGAGGGGTGGGTACCATTGGTGGGACCTCCAAGATCCCTCTTTGAAGTCTGCATTTCTCTCTTGTGCACTTGTCTGGTTCACTAAGCTGACTAATTCTAGCTTATCCTGTTCTGTCTGGGGCTGTGGTGTCTAACCTACTGCCATGTCCAGGGATGGAAATGGGAATTCAGGAGACAAATCCAAAGATATTACTCTGGGACTCTCATGTCTTTTCAGCTGTGACTTCCATGACCATTTGCATACCTTGATATAACTGTCTGATTTATGTACATCTTGACCAAAGATTATTGTTCATTTAACAGAAGAGAGGTAGGGAGGATGGCAACTCATTGGTTAAAAATAATAATAATAATAAATTAAAAACCTGTTACCCAGGATGTAACACAGAGCAGACCCTCCAAGCCCAGAGGCTAAAACTGATCCCAGCAGTATATGCAGACTGCCTTTATTCCCATTCCCACCCCCAGGTTGTGACGTGTCCGTCGTTTTGTCTGCCTATCTGTTGTCAGACTACAACCCAGGCTTCTATTTCCAAGCCTGAGTCCCTTCTCTTGTCCCGGCAGGTGAGGCAGGAGGGAAAATGTAGTGGGGAGGCAGTGGGCAGAGGCTTAGGTTGGATGGCCATTAGCTTCCTTCCTCTCAGACTGCTGAGGGTTCAATTCCATCTTCCTCTCCACTTTGCTTCCCCAGAAGTCCAAGATCATCTTGTGTCCAGCCCTCTCGGACCTGGTTGTCTACTTGAAGACTGTCTCATTCCACAGCTTCGCTCATTCAAGGGAGCACTACCACTGCTATGAGATATCGTCCTTCTCCGAAACTAAGGCCAGGGGCCTGGTCAAGGAGGCTGGTCAGGACCAAAATGGAAAAACAGGGAGGGAAGTGGGATGGGTAGATTCAGGCCTGTGGGCAGGCAGGTAAGTCCCAAGAAAGAGGACAGGGAGCTAAGAAGAGATGAAGGAGCTCAGAAACTCCTTAGAACAGGTAAGGAGGAGAGGAGTTACGAGTAGTGGGCTCGAGGCTCTAGAGAAAACAAGCTGGGGGAAGATGGTCTACATAAAACAGAATAGACTAGCACTCTAGGAGGCCTAGGCAGGCAGCTCATTTGAACTCAGGAGTTCAAGACCAGCCTGAGTTAGAGCGACACCCTGTCTCTACTAAAAAACTAGAAAGAAATAAGCTGGACAACTAAAAATATATAGAAAAAATTAGCCGGGCATGGTGGCACATGCCTGTAGTCCCAGCTACTTGGGAGGCTGAGGCAATAGGATTGCTTGAGCCCAGGAGTTTGAGGTTTCTCAAAAAAAAAAAAAAAAAAACCAAACACAGAATAGAGAGGCACATTGACGCTTTCTGGAGCTAGCCTCAGGAGATGTTAGGGAAAAGAGTGAAATGAGCAGGCAGGGTTTGTTGGGACCAGGGAAGCCCACTTCCATCTCCTTCCCTACCCTCTTTTACAGGCAATGAATTTGTGCAGCACAATACCTGGCAATTATGTCGTGTGTACCCTAGTGGCCTGAGGACAGACTCTTCCAACTACAACCCCCAAGAACTGTGGAATGCAGGCTGCCAGATGGGTGAGGCAGCAGCAGGGACTGGGAGGAGGAAGAGGAGGAGTAGCAGGTGGGAAGTAAATTCTCAAGTGGCAGTAGGGCTGGGGAATGTTTCATAAAGATTACCAGACTGAGAAAGATATTATCTGTGGAGGTATTCCCAGGAGGCATTCTTGCATCCAATATCTGTCTTCTTAATTCTTTAAAAGAGGGGCTGAAAGGCTCCCAAGGTGAATCTTTCCCTTCTTTTCTCCTGGGTCCCTCAGTGGCTATGAATATGCAGACTGCAGGGCTTGAAATGGACATCTATGATGGGCTCTTCCGCCAGAATGGTGGCTGTGGCTATGTGTTGAAGCCAGACTTCCTGTGTGATGCTCAGAGTTCCTTCAACCCAGAGAGGCCCATTAGCCCTTTCAAGGCCCAAACCCTCTTAATCCAGGTATGATGGGAAGAGAAACTGTTGGGAAAAAAGTGGGATAGCTGGGGTAGAAGTAGAGGAAGAGGTGGGTAGGCCTGATAGGAGTAATTGACTGAAAGTTCCTTTAGAGACGGGGTAGCCTGATTAACGGTGTCTAGCTTTAGTATTTGGAGCCAACTTCATAGCTTCATAGCAACTTCATAGCTTCAAACCCACTTCCTGGGTGTGTAACATTGGGCAAGCTCCTTAACCTCTCTGTACCTTAGTCTGCTCATCTGCAAAATGGGGGTAATACTTCCACCTATCTCACAGGGTTGTAAGGATTACAGCAGTTAATATAAACTGCTTACAACAAATCCTGGTACACAGTAAGTGCTGTAAGAGAGGCTGCCATTAGCATGCCTACTTTCATTTCTACTTGGATGCATTTTTAATTGCAGATAGAATATTAGAAGAAAATACAGGCCAGGCGTGGTGGCTCACGCCTGTAATCCTAGCACTCTGGGAAGCCCAGGCGGGTGGATTGCTCGAGGTCAGGAGTTCAAAACCAGCCTGAGCAAGAGTGAGACCCCATCTCTACTATAAATACAAAGAAATTAAGTGGCCAACTAATATATATAGAAAAAATTAGCCGGGCATGGTGGCGCATGCCTGTAGTCCCAGCTACTCAGGAGGATGAGGCAGGAGGATTGCTTGAGCCCAGAAGTTTGAGGTTGCTGTGAGCTAGGCTGACACCATGGCACTCACTCTAGCCTGGGCAACAAAGTGAGACTCTGTCTCAAAAAAAAAAAAAAGAAAATACATTAGCCTTGGAGGATTATTTTTGCAAACCAATAGCAATAGTGCAAGGTCTTTTGTCTTCTCCCCTGGGGTGTATGAAAGCTGGAGGGGGGTGCTGGGCTGAGCCAGAACTCATGAAGTTCCAGAGCCCTGGTTACAGGTGATCAGTGGTCAGCAACTCCCCAAAGTGAACAAGACCAAAGAGGGGTCCATTGTGGATCCACTTGTGAGAGTGCAGATCTTTGGTGTCCGTCCAGACACAACCCGGCAAGAGACCAACTATGTGCAGAACAACGGTGAGAGACTGGCATGCTGGCAGGGGAGGTGTTGGGAGCATGGCCAGTTTTCCTTCTATCTTGCCCTCCATTAAGTAGAGTCTATGTTACCGCATGTCCCCCCACTCCTCCCCACCATGGGAGGCAGTGTGAAACAGTACAAAGAATACTGGCCCTTTACTTAAAAGCTCCAGTGACCTGAGAAAATTGCTTAACCACTCTGAGCCTCAGTTTCCTTGCCTGTAAAATGCTGAGAACACAGGGAAAGCAACCCAGCGTAGGCCTAAGGATAGTCAATAATATCTGTGCCTTCATTTCCCCCTACCCCCAACTTCAGGATTTAATCCACACTGGGGGCAGACACTATGCTTCCGGGTCCTGGTGCCTGAACTTGCCATGGTGCGTTTTGTGGTAAAGGATTATGACTGGAAATCCCGAAATGACTTTATTGGTCAGTATACCCTGCCATGGACATGCATACAACAAGGTGAGCCAGCTCTTTGACCCCTGACCAACACTCCAGCTCTGGCTGCCTTCCTGATGCTATTCTGTCTCTTGCCAGGTTACCGCCATATACACCTGCTCTCTAAGGATGGCACCAGCCTCCACCCAGCTTCCATCTTTGTGTATATCTGCATACGGGAAGACATGGAGGATGAATCCTGAGGTAGGCACTTCATGAGAAGGGTGAATGTGCTGGCTTTAGATGGTGAGAAAAACCTGGAAGGATGTTCCAGAGAGAGCAGTTGGAGGTGATGAAAACCAAGCTATGGATTGTGTATTCCTAGGCATAAAATTACCTCGTCCTCTCTAACAAACAAATCTGGGATCTGATTTTTCACCTTCTTTCTCTTCCCTTCCTTTGTTCTACAAGCCTGTTGTTATCTTTCCTGCCCTTTCCCTTTGTGGATTCTACATTCTATACTGGAGTTCTCTCCTTCCTCTTGCTGTAGGCTCAACCCCATACCCAGATCTACAGCTAATCTTTCCCATCAACTCTGGTGCAAAAGCTGATTGCAACTAGAAATCCAGTAAGGTGTGTGGAGCAGAGAAACTTAAGGATGCATTATCCCCTCCATGCTTGACTTCCTCAAAGCCCAGAGCCAAGAGAAGGATAAATCAAATTTCAAGGTTTCCTAGGCAAAGATTGGGAAAGGAGACCTACTGCAGAACTGTACTGACTTCTCAAGAGAACACTGTGCAGTGCTCAGAGTCCCCACTGGACTGCTCCATCTTAGCCCCACTGGTATAAATGCAGCTTCTCTCTCCAATTTGGCTTGAGTAAGGTCTGTTACTGTTGGGCATGAAGGGGAGGTACAAGGGTTGGGTGGACACTTGGGTAGTTGGGCGGGACAGGGAAAAAGTGGAGAAAGGTTTCCAGGGAACCTCCTGCATGTGCTACATAGGAAGGACACACAACTTTTAAGAAGTAGGGCAAAAGGAAGAGACAAAGGGTTATGTGATCCCAGCTCTCCTGAAGAACTTGCCTAGAATCATCCTGGTTTATGTCCATTGTCCCAGAATATTAATAGTACCCCCTTTAATTTTTTCAGTGTGTCCCAGTTTAGATGATCAACTATATAGTGAGGCACTATAGAATTATACTGTGAGGTACTTATATAATTCTGAATTGGAGATTTACCTCCCTAATCATTTGCCTTTCACAGTATCCTTGTGTTTTAACACCTTAGCACAGCTGATAAGCCAGTGTGAGGATTTATGTTGAATTAAGATTGCCTCCAGAAGGAGGCTTACTGGGTGGCAATCCCTCCTCTGTAGGGGGACAAAGGGGCTTAGAAGTACGGAGGAAGGCAAAGACCAGGATGGGCTCAAGGACAGAAAGACAGACTTCGGCCTGTTTTAGAATCACTGAGTAATCACTGAGTAAAGATGGATGGAGACAAAGAGAAGGCAGAAGTCTAAGAGGGGACAGACCAGATCAAAATGACAGGTTGGAAATGTTAAGACAGGGATTTGGATGATTCTATAAGCTAGTAATCATTCTCTGTTTAACATGCTTTATAGAGCATTAGGCACAATAGCACACGCAGTTAGATACAGCTGTTTTGAAGATGCTAAAAGAAAATAGTACTTGACACAATAAGAAGGGAAGAGAAGACAGAGTGGGTAAAACCAAGTTCTTATAGCCAGGGACTATGATGGAGTGATGGTGAAGAAACTGGGAACTCACAGGTTTAAACACAGTATGCCTCAACAAGAAATCAATGTTGTGATCCATGTCTCTCTCTTATATAGCCGTTAATTTCAAAGTACTATAGCTAGAGTTCCAGGAGGTTTCCAGTCACCCTGATACCCCAAAGCCAGTCCTTTCGTAGGCCCTGAGCTCCTCAGGCCAGCTCTGGTCCCAGTTTACACATCTTGGACCACATCCTCTTGCTGTCCAGGAGGTGAGGTAGGCGCTCAGCCCTCAGGTCCAGTGGGTAGAGCGGCAGGAACAGGAGGGCTAGGATCCTCCAGCTGCACATCATGCAGGTGCACTGTAGGGGTGGTAGGGTCTTTGCCCACACCCTGATTTGGGTCAGCTTGGTCAGGGTGGTGCCTGCGCACATGCTTGACCACCTGGAATTTCTGCTTGGCCTTGTAACTGCAAAGGCGGCAAAAGAAGGGGTGGCGGTCGGTGTGGGTGAGGGCATGATGGCGCAGGCCCGCGGCCCAGCGGAAAGCACGGTGGCACACGTTGCACACATAGGGTTTGGCCTCACTGTGCTTGCGAAGATGGGTACGCAGCAGGAAGCGCGTCTTGAAGGCCTTGCCACACTGCTCACACATGAAGGCCCGTGCTTCCCGGTGCCGTGTCTCTTGGTGCACACGCAGTGCGTCAGCCCGGTTGGTGCAGTACTCACACTCAGGACACTGATATGGCTTCAATCCTATGGGACAGAGAACAAATCATCATTGAAAGGGGGTGGAACAAGTTTCAGTGGGCCATAAGAGTCACCGTGATCCTGGGATATAAAGAACACAAGCAGGCACTCTAGCCCAGGCAACAAAGTGAGACTCTGTCTCAAAAAAAAAAACAAACAAACAAACCACAAGCAGCAAGCTAATGACTCTACCTTTGTAATGTTCGAATCCTGTCTGACATTTCTGAACCCTTCTGCCAACATAACCTCTTGTGTATGTGGTGCCCAATGGATGCTGATGACTAACTGGACCTCTAGCCAATTAGCCACCTAGTAATGAATACTCAAATATGGTAGGGTTTCCAAAGAGAAATTTAGCCCACTTTGGTCACATGATACTCATGGAATTTGAGAATCCATTTAAACATAACTGCTTGTTTTTTTTTTTTTTTTTTGGTTGTTAATATTCAGAGGGGGAGGAAAGGGAAAGGAAAGGGTGAATATGGGTGGGGGGAGGGAGAGCCATAGCTGCTTATTCAACTCAGAAAGTAAAAGAAATGCCTAAGAGGGAAGCATACTCATAGAAGCAAAAGGTCTTGAAATGTATTTGATCAATTTCTACACATATGGGGACAATATATAATAATCACAGGCACACAACTATGTAGTTTTTGGAGAACCCATGGTTTGATTCCATACCCAGAAGAAAAGGACAATTTGGAACAGGAGAATCCTCCACTTTCTCCTTCTTACTTATGGTAGTTCCATCACGTCTGTGTAGGAACCAGGTATACCTGCCCTTAGTCACTCAAGGTTGAGTAGGAGGTTTCCAACAGGGGATACATGACCTTGTACCACAATCACCTGGGAAGCTTTTGCAAAGTATTATGCCCAGGCTCTCAGGTTTATCCTCTTCTGATTCTGATAGGTCTTCAGTAGGCTGGGGAGCCATTCTGATACATAGCCCCCAGCCTACTCCTTAGGTGAAAATCAATGTCAGCCCTGAATCTGAGCAAGATAAACACCACCTCGGTGAGGTTAGATTTGCCAGGGAATGGGGGAACCCTAAAAGGCTGTCAAAACCATGCAGACTCACCTGTGTGTTTGGTCATGTGGTACTTGAGCTGGTTAACCCACTTGCACTTGTAGCCACACTCAGGGCACAAGTACTTCCGTTCCTCCTTGTGGATCCGCATGTGGTACTAGAAGAGGGAAAAGCAAAAAGCAGAAAATGTGCACTCTTTGGTGTTCACTGGATGTGGCAATAGGGATGAGACAGAACCTATTGACAGATAACTGTTCTCTGCTCCCATCCTATCCATACTCTGCTTACCAACCATGTCCCCCAGTCTGGTCAGTTTTGATACCAGCCTAACCCATTTTGCTTCTCCCTAGGTCTTCCCTATCTCGACTCTGTCACTTACTAGCTGTGTCTCTGGGTGATCTAACCCCTAATTCTCAGTCTACTAATCTGTAAAACAGGGAATAATAAAAGTATCCATATGTCATATTTCTGAAAGGATTAGAATTATAGTGTTGGGCATATAATAAGTACTCTATAAATGTTAACTATTATTATCATCCAGATTATCCCCATTATCATCCAGATATATGGATGATATATGCCTTTATCACATAATGAGTACTTCTTATGGAATTTTATTTTTACAACAGCCCTATGCAGTTGGGAAATATTATCTCCCTTTTATAGATGAGTAATCTGAGGCTTGGAAAAGTTGAAGATCTTGCCCAAAATCACAGAGCTAATATTTGGAAAGTTCACTCCTTCTACTCCCTGCTCCACATCCTCTGACCTTACCTTGAGGCGAGAGGGATCAGCACAGGCATAGGGACAGAGGTGACAATGGTAAGGCTTTTCCCCAGTGTGGATACGGCTGTGCCAGGTGATCTTCTGCCGGTTCTTGGTGCTGTAGGCACAGTCAGTACACTTATAGAGACGGGTACCCCCATGCCCTTTCACATGGTGATCTAGCACTAGCTGATGGCGGCAGGCAAAGTCACAAAAGGGGCAGCGCAGAAGGGGCTGGCTAGCATCTCCATCCCCATCTGAGGTTGCTGCCACTGCTGAAGTCTCCTCATGCTGCTCCAGGTAGTGCTTCACTAGGCCCACCCGCTCCCGGGCTGCAAAGTCACAGAGCTGGCAGCGGTGGCTGAAATGTTGCTGCCTCCGGTGCTCATCCAGTGCTGGTCGGCTAGGGAAGGTCTCCTGACAGGCCCCACACTCAAGCCGTGGGTGCTGTTTACGGGTGTGTCCTCGCAGGCTAGCAGGGCTGGGGCATAGCAACCCACAGTGGGAGCAGTGCAGGGGTCCCTCAGTGGCCTCTGCAGGAGAGCCAGGGGCAGGGTGTGTAGGCTCGGGGTGTCGGCGCAGAGCATGCTGCTTAAGTGCTGTCTCTGAGCTGAACTGGGCCTCACACTGGGAGCAGGCAAAAGCTGGGGTACCTTGGTGGCAGCTGTTGACATGGCGAGTGATGTCATGGCGAAGATAGCCACTATAGTCACAAAGTGGACAGAAGTGAGTGGGTGTTTTGTCATGTACCCTTAGCCGGTGCAAGCGTAGTTTTGAGTTGGTACCAAATGTCTGGGGGCAAGAGCTGCAGGGGATGCGGCCAACACCTGTGTGTCGGGATTGGTGGGCTTCTAACCGGTACCGTCTGGTAGTGGAAAAGTCACAGAAAGGACACTGATGTGGCTTCACCCCCTCATGCTTGAGCCGCCGGTGCTGCTGCATACAACGGCTCTGTTTACAGGTGAAGCCACAGTCCTCACACTGCAGAGGGGGTCGGGGGCCGCGGGCTGAGGCTGCAGTGGGGTGCTTCCGCTTCTGGTGGAGTCTCAGGGCAGCAGCAGCAGGAGCAGTGAACGGGCAGAGGCCACAGTGCAGCTCTCCAGAATCCTCAAGGGGGCAGCCCCGGGTCTGGTGAGTCCTCAGAGCCCGTTCCTGCTGGCAGCTAAAGGGACATGTGGGGCAGGAGAAGCGAGCTCCCTTCTGCTTTTGAACTACAGCTGTGTCCCCATCACTGGGGCTGGACTCTGTACTCCCATTGCTCAGGGGAGTGGAATCTCTATTGCTCAAGGGGGACAGAACAGGTTGGGTCTGGGAGGCCCCTCGCTTTCCTCCCCCACCATGCCCCCTACGGCAGCCTTCAGCTACATGGGAGGTAATAGAGGAGAGCCGAGAACAAAGGAACGTGCATGAGTTGCAGTGAAACTTGCCCTGCTCAAAGTGGTACTTCTCAGGGGTCTCTGTGGGTGAGGAGTTTCCTGTAGGAGGGACTGGGGAGCTAGAGAGTGTGACAAGAGGCTTCTCTATTTCTTCTGGCTCCCTGGGAAGCTCCAAAGGAGCATCTTTTGGAAGCAGTAGCTCTACTTCCAGTGGTATAGGTGGGGGCTTCCCGCTTTCTGTGTCCTCTGAGGCCTGGGCACCTGGGAGCAGAGGATGCAGTGGGATGGGAGAATCTGGTCTGAGCAAGCCTTTGCTCTTTCTGAGCAGAACAGGGCACTTCTTTAGCAGATGGGTGCTGAGGCCACGTTGTTGCTTGAAGCGAGCCCCACACTCAGGACACAGCAGGGGCTCTCGGCGGACCTGACACCCAGTCCTGGAGTGCAAATTCAGGGCCTTCTCCCGGCGAGTGATAAAAGGGCAATGTGGGCAACGGAAAGCTCGTCCCTCCCCCTGGATCACTACCATCTGCACCCGCCCCTCCAGTACCAGTGCCTCTGCTTGTTCTTTGTCCTGCCTCCTTAGGGCCTTGAGTAATGATTCTGACTCAGGGAATGGGGGCAAGGGTGCTGTCTCAGCAGGTGGAGTTGCCTTGAATGTTCCCACCCAGCTATTAGAGGCCTCCTCTGAGGATGGAGGATTTCTAGGGGGCTCAGAGACTGGCTTCTCCAGAATGGGATTTTCTTCAGCACCCAAGCTTGAAGTCCTAACACCTTCAAAGCTGGACAGCTCTGGTCCTTCCAATCCCAGAGGCCCTGAGGAATCCAGGGGCCTGAATTCTACAGGGGCTGTTTCAGTGATTTCCTCAAGAGGTGGCTCAGCCATAGGTTCCAGCTCTACTCCCAGGGCCTCTAGGTGTAGTGTGCAGCTGCCCTCACCCTCCTCTACCTCCGCTGGGCTGGGGTTGCCAACCAGGTCATCCCCATGGGGAGGTTCACTGCCATCCTGATTCTCAGTGTTGACCTCCTCAGTTGTCTCTGGCAGGGACTGGTCCACGCTGGAGTCTATTACAGACCCAGGATCATGGCCTGGCCCCTCAGGTTGGGCAGACAGCTGGCTTGAGGGCTCTGAGTCCGGTGGGGGTGTTGGGCACTGCCTGGTCCCCTCTGGCTCCTGGCTGGCATAGCGTAGCTGCCAGAGCTGGTCCCCAGGTACATAGCCATGGGCCTTGCGCTTGTGGAATAAGAGGGTGGTATTGCTGAAGGTGCGATAGTCACAGAGGGCACAATGGAACTCACGGAGGCGGGTATGCTTGCAGTTCTCATGGCTCAACAGGGCTTGCTTGTGGCGGCTCTGATAGCTGCAGTAGTGGCAGGGGTAAATTGGGGTTGGTGTGCCAGGGTGGTGCTGGGAAGCCATGTGCTTCTGCAGCTCATACTTTCGCTTGCAGGCGAAGGCACACACCTCACACATCAGAGACTTGCCCTGGTGCCGCAGCTTGTGGCTGCTCAGCTGATCAGCCCGGTGGCAGCGATAGGAGCACTGGTTGCACTGGTATCTGGCAAGGAGCAAAAGGGAGAGGCAATCACAATAAAAAAAAGTCATAACAACTCAGGGTCACTAAATAAATACTATGGGCCAGGCTCTGCACCCAGTATTATACACGTATCATCTCATTTCACCCTCCTTTACCACTACCCTATGACAGTGGTCCCCAATCCCTGGTCCATGGACTGTTAGGAACTAGGCCGTACAGCAGGACATGAGTGAGCAGTGGGCAAAGCTTCATCTCTATTTACAGCCACTTCCCATCACTCACATCACCACACAAGCTCTGCCTCCTGTCAGATCAGCAGCGGTGGCATTAGATTCTCATAGGAGCAAGAGCCTTACTGTAAACTCCGCATGCAAGGGATCTAGGTTGTGCACTCCTTAGGCAATCTAATGCCTGATGATCTGAGGCGGTGATGCTAGCACTGGGGAGCAGCTGCAAATACAGATTATCATTAGCAGAGAGGTTTTACTGTACTTGAATCAACCTGAAACCATCCCCCGTCCCTCATCCATGGAAAAATTGTCTTCCAGACTAGTCCCTGGTGTCAAAAGGTTGGGGATCACTGCCCTGTGAAACAGGTATCTATTTTACAAGTGAGGATTACAAGTGAGGAAACTAAGTAACAGAAGTTAATAACTTGCTTGAGGTTAGTTACAAAGGAAGTGAGGGGTGGAGACAGCTTAGCATCAGACCTGTGTTCTAGCCTTACTGTATACTGCTTCCTAAAACAAAGTTATTCTGAATCAGCACAACCCACCATGGACTTTAAGGAGCTTATATGACTACAGCCCCATAGGGCAGGTTTCTGTGCCTTGTTCCCAATCTCCCACAGAGGTTTGAAAGCTACAGAGAAACCCCCAAGAGCCAGCTGTGCCCACAGGTCAGAGAACATGCCTGGATTTGGAAGTGGCTATAAGCGTAAAATCTATCCAATTTCCCAGGGCCAAACTCTGAGGACTTAGGCAATAGCTGAGATGGTGGGAGCAGAGAAAGATGTCAGGAGGAGACACTTCCAGGGACTGGAAAAAGCAACGGGGCCAGAGGATGGATCCAAGAGGAGGCTAACTTGGCATAAGGTCCTTGGGATAGGGATGGAGGCACATGTGTGCTCATACCTGAGGTCCCCTGTGTGTTTTCGCATGTGCACACGGAGGTAGTGCTTCCATTTGGTGACATAGCCACATTCAGTGCACATGTAATCTTTGGTGTTAGAGTGGGTCAGCATGTGCTTGGATAGATAGCTCACATCTCGGCATGTGAAGTCACACAGCTCACACTTATGAGGTTTCTCACCTTATATGAGGGGTGAGGATGAGAGAGGAGAGAACACAGGTCAGACACAGATCAACTGAGTGGACAGACCATTTCTTCCAGCAAGCTTACCCTGATGCCAAGCAGGAGCAAAAGCTTCATGTGCTACCTGAGACGTTGAAGACTTTACAATAATCAAGGCTGCTTCACAACCCTCTCAGACAACTACTCCCCAAATCCTACACCAATGAAGATGGGAGGAAAGTAAAGACTGAGCTTTTCAAAACTGCCTTTAAAATCCCCGATTTGTTTTACAACTTGTTGGCAATAATAGCCAACTGCTCCACTTAGTCCAATTCCTTTCATATTCTGGAACAGAAGGAAAAATAAATTAGACTATAGAACACAGTGGTTAAGAACTCTGACTCTGAAGTCCAACAAAGTAATAAAAATATTAACAGTCAACATTTACAAAGTGCTTACTATGTGCCAGGCATTTTATAAAATACCTCCTCTCACTGAATCTCTATGGGACAGATGCTATTATCTCCTCCATTTTACTGATGAGGACACTGAGACAGAGAAATCAGAGGTATTAAGCAGTGATTTAAATCCCAGCTTACTACTCATGTGGCTTTGGGCAGTCTCAGATTCCTTGTCTCCAAAAAGAGGGCAACAAAAATATTAACCTCACATGACTGGTATGAAGATTAAATGATATGTCCCAAAGTTGTCAGTGGTGCCCAGTGAAAACTCAAAACTGAGCTGTCCATGTAGATAGTCAAGCCCTGGCTGTGAGAGGCTGGAGGCTATGTTCCTTTAGGACCCCTCCCTGGTTCCCTGCCCACTCATCCAGTCTCCTTCCCTGTGGTGAAAGGCAAGCAACATGGTATTCTGGTTCTGGTTCTAACACTAGCTGTGTGATCTTAAAGTAGGTCTAAATTTAACTTCTCAGAGTTTGTCCCCTTTCTCATCTTTACCTGGCTTGCTTACAATATTGTTATTACAGACTATATGGGATAACACATATGAAAAAACTCTGTAAACTATAAAGCACTACACAGATATAGGCTTTAGGAAAGGCCTCAGAAACATGAGATTTTTGTGACTAAAGCATGTATTATATAAAAACGAACTGTTTAATGGGAACAACAATGGCTTTGCCCCAAGCTGCCTAAAAATTGTTCTCCCAAACCAGAGTCTTTGATGAAATTTTTTTAATGTCCTAATAATCCATTGATGTTTATATAGAGATCATAAATGGGATGATGCTATAGCAGGAAGCTTGATTTGGCTGTCACCTAAAGCATCAGTAATACTGCTAAACAATTACGAGCTGGAGTTGAAACGTGCAACTTCTGGGTCACTGGAGATGATCTTGTTCCAGTGTCATGAATGTCAAGCTATGGAAGGTCATGATGTGTATAGATGGCTCAGTCCCTGTGCTCTCTCACAGCACATCCCAAAACTTAAATTACAAATGAAGGTATTTGTCCTGGTCTCGGTTTCTTCACTCTAATAGGCTTGGTGTTGACCCACCCAAGCCGGACTAAGGGTAGCAGAACTGGACAGGGGATTAAGGGCAAGACACAACAGCATAGTAGTTAGAGCACAGACTCTGGAATCAAACCACCTAGATTCAAATCCCAGCTCTACTTTATTAGCTGAATGACACACTCAAGGATGGTTTTTAAAAAAAAATTTTTTTTTTCTTCTTTTTGGTGGAGATGGGGTCTCACTCTTGCTCAGGCTAGTGTCAAATTCCTAAGCTCAAGCTATCCTCCAACTTCAGCTTCCCAGAGTGCTAGGATTACAGGCGTGAGCTATTGTGCCCAGCCCTCAAGGATCATTTGTAAACTTAGAATCTATCTCTAGGAATTCTTGGTCAAATGTGACAATGTATACAAGGCCCTTCATGTGGTATCTGGTATACGGTTAAAGGTCATATTAGCCATTATCATCACCATCATTACTTCTACATTATTGTAAAGATGGAAGGAAGCCATCTCACCGGTATGAAGCAGCATGTGTCGGATGAGCACCCTCTTGTGGGCAGTGGCAAAGTTGCACTCAGGGCACTGGTGGATCTTTTCATGAGCATGCATCTTGCCTACATGGTCCTGATAGGCCACAGGGTTGAAGGTGGCAAAGGGGCAGAAGGTACAGCGCAGCTCTTCACTGCCAGGGTGGCCCTGCTTTTTGTGTTTACGGAACAGATGCTTATTGGAACAGGCGAAGTCACAGTGGGGGCAGTGGAAGGCATAGTGGCTCTTGTGGTGGGCCTCCATGGCTTCGGCTGTGGCAAACAGCATGGGACATGAGTGATGGCGGCACTCCACAGCCCGCATTCCGTGGGTCTCCTTCAGGTGCTTTACAAAGGCTTTGCGGTCGGGTGCTGCATAGTTGCAGCCCTCTTCAAAGCAGCGAAGGGGTAATGGTTCTGCTGCAGCTGCTGCTGTGTGGCTCTTGAGGTGCTCCTTGAGGGCCTGGCTGAGGCGGAATTCCTCACGGCAGACAGGACAGGCATAGGTGTCTGAGTAGAAGTTGGAAATATCCTCATGCATGCTGGCCATGTGGCGGTTGAGTGCATTCCTTTCCACTGCACTGTAGTGGCACAGTGGGCAGTGGTGGGCCTTCTCACCCAGCTCTCGCAGTAGATGGGTCTTGAGCTTGCTCTTACTGGTAAAGAACTTCTGGCAGTTGGGGCACTGGAGGCTGGGGTCTGGGAAGTGGAGATGCAGGTGCTCCATCAGATGGGTCCGCTTCTTAAAGCAGCGTTTGCACTCTGGACACATGTGGGTCTTGAAGAGGGACTCAGTACCTGAAGCAACATCCCCTAGGAGAAGGAATAGAGAGAGGGTTGAGAGTGAGATTCTTCAACAAGTCAGTGCTAGCCAGATAATGGAAGAACCACAATTTGCCTAGATACAAACAATGTGGCCTTTCTCTCCAGGAAAATAAGTAATAGGGTCTCAAACACTGTAGTCTCTAAGAGAAGCAACATTATAAGAACTTCTCAGACCTTGGTGTAGCCTGTTTGAAGTGTTTCACCTAGCCACCAGCTATTCTTGAGTCTTTGTTTACAGCTGCTCAAAAGAACAATCAGGATGGAGCATTATTATTCTTCCTGCCCTTGTTCTACTGGAGCAGGAGGAAAAATCAGCAAGTTATAAAGTTATAAGTAAAGTTGCCCCGAAAGGAGTGAGCAGAAGGAAAGAAGGTAAAGTATTCTTATTTCCAAACACTGGCTCATTGGTGCTAGGTAATGAGTTGGTAATAGCTGAGCACAGTGATGTGCACCTGTAGTCCTAGCTACTTGGGAGGTTGAGGCAGGACAATCAGGAGTTTGAGGCTGCAGTGAGCTATGATCATGCCACTGCACTCCAGTTGGGGCAAAAGAACGAGACCTCATCTCTAAAAATTAAATTAAATTAAAAAATAAATAAATAAAATAAAGAGTTGGTAATAATACAATCAGATCTTTCTAATTCACCTGACAATAAATTTGTCCCCTGTGGGATATGTTTCAAGTGTTCTACTGAGTTGAAAAATGGGAAGCAAGGATTCAGAGAAAAATCTTGGGGGCTCAATACCAAATAAAACAGGCTGCTAATCATCAATTTCTTCTGGTATCTCTACACTATGAACATCAACCTCTGCAAAAGAGTTTTCTGTCTGAGGAAAATCAGCCCAGAAAAGCAAACTCTAGTTATCCCTACCCTTTGTTACTAGCGTCTTTACCACTTACCCATTTATCATTTTCCCAGTAGATCCTGACTTCTGGGTCAAGGTAAAATGGGAAGAATGGAAGGATCTGAACCAAAGCTCAGAAAACAAACCCAACAGCCTCAATGCCAGGCTCTTCACAATCCACTCCTCCTCACCAAGAGCTTCAAGCCTACTAACATTACCTTCTAAATGCTGAGCCCCTTGGCCTTTGTCCAAGGCCTTCTGGGAGTCCTTCTGGGTCTCACTCTTCTCCTCTTCTTCTACGTCCTCCTCTTCAGCTGACTCCTGCCCAGGCAAGGTTGTACCTGCTTCCTCTGAAGGTTCTCCCTCTCCTGGAGGCAGTTTGGGAGCTGGAGACATATAAAACTTGATAAAGTCTTCAGAAGCCAATGACAGCAATGAATGCTTGTCCTTCTCCACTTACTGGCTGAAAGAATCACCCTCCTCTACTTTTAGCGTGAGGTTTAAATCTTGAGGTTTAAATAAATAAATTTATTCTCACTCAAGGCATGGATAGGAAGATCAGAATGTAATCTATCAGCAATACTCCAATCTAAAGTAAATCAAACCTCAGCACCAACTTCAGAACCCTTGATTGTAAGAGCTTTGAGGTCATTAGGGTAGGGGTAGGGAGCTGAGAGTAGACAATGGGTAGACCATAATTCCATGGATAAGGTACCCAGGGATAATGGCTGGTGGCTCACTGAGTGTGAACATACCCTGATTTCTAAAGTGTTCTAGTGCCCTCCCGACCCAAATCCATCCCTTCTATCCTCTAACAGAGGCAGCTACCTGAGTAATGCAAAGACATATGACTAGTTTCCAGGAAAAAGGTCTTCTCTTCAGGCAACAAAGCACAAGTGAGTATTAGCAAGCCAACTTATCTCATCAGAATCCTGGTTTCTTCTGGCCTGTTTTTGCTGTTTCCTTCTGCTCCTCTATTCACCTCCATAAACTTTTTTAAAATGTTTTTTTGAGACCAAGAGGAGTAAGAATCAGTAAAACACCATCTCCATTGAAGGTTCCTTTTTAAAATAACCCCAACTTTTCCTGCCCAATCTCCTAATCCCAGCTACTCTAAAAGGGAATCTACAGGCATTCTACCAGTGGCTATAACCAATGATGGGCATTTTTGCTTTTGCCCTCAGAAAGTTCTGAAATAGATCAGTTAATATTGATTAACTTCAGGCTATATGTAGCCTAAGCCAAATTTCACTCATCATCAGGGACAAAGACTTCCTCTTTTGGCCATATATTCTGAATGGTTCAAGGTTTCTAGATGCCTCCCCATGTCACCCTACTGAGCCATTATCTAGATTTCCTTGTATTCATGCACACCTATGGCACTGGAAACAACTGCCTATCTCATAAGATCAACTGTGGCTGATCTCCAAGAGGGGGACTGCTGGGCCCCTGGCCTCATACCTGGCAGCAGCTCCTGAGATGAAAGGCCCTGAACGGCAGAATGTTGTTCCTGTGTCCCGGCCCCATGGCTCCACTGATGCTGCCGGAAGAGTTTGACGTTGGAGCCCATGAAGCTGCAATGGCTGCAGTGGAAAGGGTAATGGCCCTGCCGGTGCAGCTCCATGCCCTGCTGGCTACCGAAAAGCAAAGGGCAGCCGCGGAAAGAACAGGGCACAGGAACTGCTCTGTGGGTCTGCCTCAGGTGATGCTGCAGACCCTTGCGATCTTCAGCAGAGAACACACAGCCAGATTCTGGGCAGGAGAAGGTGTCAGGAGTGCCCCGGTGAATCTTGAAGTGGCTCTTCAGGGCCTGGGGTTGGGCAAACTCCTGTCTACATACAGGGCATGGCAAGGGGCTATCTAGCGGGCTCTGGCCCTGCAGAGAGCCAGGGAGGTTAAGGTTGCTAGGGGGCAGCTCTACAGAGCACGAGGGGCTAGAGAGGCCCTGCACTGGTTGTATATGGGTCTCACTGCACTGGTGCAGGGCCAGCAGAGTGGGCTCTGCGAAGCTCTGTTCACAGCGCTCACAGAAGTACACCTCCACCACTTTTACCAGGACACCTGCAGGCAGAGGACCGACAGAGAAAGGCATAGAATCAGATGGAACAAGATTCACAGGAGTTAGTTACTAGCAGAAAATGTAGGTGAATCTTTTAATATTCATGGAGTACAGATGGACTATTAAGTCTGGTTCTACACCTGCAATGTAAGCCCCATAAGGTCAGGGACAGTCTAACCCTAGTATCCACCAAGCATAATACTTGGCACAAGATAGGTGTTTAGTAAGTATTTTTTAAATGAATAAACAAACATTAATCAAATCCAGAAAGCATTAGGAAAAGGCAACATGTTTTGCCCAAATAAAATTTAGAAACTTCCAAAGGAAGTAAATGACAAACTAGGGATAATATCTGCAATATAACTGACAAAGTGTTACTTTCAAATTCTGTAAAGGAATTCATAAAATGGAGAACATACTTTTTGAGAGCAGCCAAATCACCTCCATAATAATTGCTGCAATTTTTAAAGTAATGGGCAGAACCTTGATAAAGAAAAGCTTAAGAAATGCTCTTATTTGGTCCTACAACAGCCCTATAAGAGGCACATAGCATTCTATGCAGTTAAGGCCACCATGTTTATTAGTGGTAGAGCCATGACTTAAGCCCACATTTATCTTTCTTACATTTATTCTGCTGGTCCTTTTTATCATTTTTTTGTTTAAAAGAAAAGTTCAATGCAACAATTCAAATGATACAGAAGTATACAAAGAAAGAATAACCATTCCCACTCTCACACATATAGCTTGGTGTGTATCCTTTTAGGCCTTTTTTTCCCCACTTACTATATATTAAAGATATTTTTATCTATGAGTACATTTAAATCTATTTCATATTTTTTTTTCCAGTTCATGGTAGTTTAGAACATGGATAAATCAAAATGAAATTCTGTTTCAATGGTAGGCTGTCATGAAAAAAAAAAAATTCTGCCCTTACTGATAGACATTTGGGCTGTTTCCAACCATTGCAAATAAAGCTGCCCTATACATCCTTATCTCTGTATCTTTGTGTATGTGTGTGAGTCTTTCTACAGGACTGTTTCCTACAGTGGAATTACTGGGTCAGAGTGTGCATATTGTAAAATTTGTTACATAGCTAAATGTAGATTATATTAATTTTTCATAAGTTGTAAGACAGTGTTTTCCTATAGCCTCACCAAAACTAGGCATTATAAAAAAATGTTTAATTTTGCCAAAGTTGAGAAATGAAAACAGCACCTCATAGTTATTTTTAATTGAAATTTGTTTGTTAGTGAGATTAAGCATCCTTCCATATGGTCATTAACCATTTTTATTTCTTCTTTAGTGAAAGGCATGTAGCTTTCTTTTTCCCATTTAAATAAAGCTGTTTCTTTTTCATCTTATTAACTCTTTCTTATATATTGCAAGTGTTTTTCCCAGGCTTTTTAGAAAAAAATTCCTTTTACCACACACAAATTTAGAAATATTACATAGTCAAATTAGCTAATCTTTCCTAGTATTCTTTATCACTATACTACACTGCCAAGAGAAGTACTGACAACTATAGCTGGAGGATGGCAGTTAAAAAACAGAGAAGTTTCCTAAAAATAAGAGGTTATAAATATGGTATGAACAAAGGGAGAGTCTTCCTCCTAGGACAAATGCAAATGCTCAACTCCTACTCTATTTTTTTTTAAGAGATGGGGTCTCACTATGTTGCCCAGGCTGGAGTACAGTGGCTATTTACAGGCATAGTATATTATAGTCTCAAACTCCTAGGCTCAAGTGACCTTCCCATCTCGGCCTCCCTAGTAGTTGGGACTACAGGTGCACACCACTGCACCAAGCCTCCTACTCTTAACAGCAAGCCTTGGATGAGTAAAATATGTTATATGTGAGAAACTAGGGCAGAGAAATACCAGATTACCTCTGGAAAGCCCTGCCAAGCCCAGGGTGGGAGAGACATGCTAGGCCTTTTGCCTAATCCCTAGCCGTAGTTCCTTGGTGGAAGGGTCAATATGGAGGAAAGAATCCTCAAGGACTCTAACAGAAAGGACAAGCCAGGATTGGGCAGAGGGATCAGAAAGGTCTCCCTTTCTGGATTAGTGCCTAGCAGACATGAAGGGACATGACTCTGCCAAAAGCTTGGTACAAGGTTGTGCACCACTTCACCAGCCTTCAATCAACATGCACCAACTGCAAACCAAATTACAACATCTCCAAGTATAAAAATAGGATGCTTCCTTATGTTCTCATCATATTTATACAGAAGAACCAAAAATAGCACAGACAGAACCTCAGGGCTGCTTGTCCCACTGGCCTGCTTGCAACTGTGTTTGTACCTGGGGTCTCTCCAGGAGCACCTGGGGACAAGGTTCCAGCTACTGTTTCCACAATGATCTCCATGTTCCCTGGGTCCTCTTCAGTTGCTGTGGCCTCTACCAGCAGGCAGCCTGGATCAGTAGGCAAAGGTGTGGTGTCCCCAGAAGGACAGGGGCTCTGAATGGGCTCCAAGATTCCACGGTTAGAGAGAGGTGGAGGGATCAGCAATATCTCAGGGCACAGTCCATCCATCTCCCCAGTGCTGTTGGTTGGCTGTGAGTCCAACACAGGGTCTGTCATCACCAGCAACTTGCGTGTTTTGGCCTCTTAAATGCTAAGAAGCCAAACAGAAGAAAAACAAAAATACTGTTAGAGCTCTTGCTTTCTTCCAGGTTGGTGTTGGTACACAGCCCAGTGCCCACCCACTTAGTCACTGCCTTGCACGGCAGCATGCCACACCTTATTAACCTAAATAGAGTCTTTCTTTTTACAACAATGTTCAGACCAAAAAGTATACAAATAATAAGAGTCAATATCAGGAGAGAGCTAACAAGTTTTGGACAGCATATTAATGATTGCAGGTTATGTTTCTTGCTACCTAAGTGCCCTTGGTCAAATCATTAAACAATCTGGGCCTTAGTTTTCTTATCTGCAACAAAATTAGGTGAGGCCAAAGGATCTCAGAGGTCCCTTTCCCTCTGAATATTTGATAATGTCATATTCCTCAGTATAGGTATAAGGCCCTTCCTTCATGATCTGGCTCCTGATGACCTCTCCAGACTCATCTTCCATCTCTCCTCTCAACAGATCTCTGAACCAGATGATGTGCCATTCTCTAGACTCACCACATTCTCTTTTGCTTCCGCATCCTCACGGCCTTTTGTCTCTTTCTTGGCTTTATATGCGCCTCTTCCCCTTCTCAATCTCCCTCTTCCTCTCTCTATCATCTAGCTAACCAACTCCTAACAATCCTTTAAGAAGCTCCACAAAAGTCACTTCCACTATGAAGGGTTCCTGACATGCTTAACTTACTTTCTCTCTCCTGGGGTCCTAATGGCACTTTGCACATAGCCCTGTCAGAAACTGTGTCACGCTGCACTATTGTTTACCTATCAGTCTCCCTCTCTACATGTACAGCTTTTTCAGTAGTTTATTGACATTATCATTTCAACAAACACAAATCACCAACAATCTATGGAAATCAGACAAATAAGATTCTAGTGAAGATCTGTAGACATGGAGCTGAATCAGTAAAGTGAGGTATCTTGTACCAAGATACCAAACCAGTGGTTCCTCACAATAAAGTGACACATGTAGAGACATTTCAAACTCATTAATTGACTATGGCCTCCAACTGAAAACGGGAACATAACTGAGAAATGAATCACAATTACATTGCATATTCTCGTATCCACAGCTAAAATGAGTTTAAGCTGAATTACTAGTAATTAGTAAGAATGACAGTATTCACTTCATGAAATTGAGTCTCTGAGATGGAGTAAAGGGCAGGCTGCAGGTGAGAAGATGTAAAAGGAAAAAGAAACCTAGGTCCTGCAATCTGATGGTCTCTATTCTCCAGAATCCCACGACTCAAAGCATTGGATCACAGGGATTGAGAAGGTGGCGGGGAAGCGGTCAGAGGGATTCTCTGGTAACCGCAGCTGCCACTTAATGAGTATTATCGCTGCTCTGGAGAATCTTCCTGACAGCCTCTGGAGGAAGGCCAAGGAGGACGTGGCGCCATCGAGATTGAGAACCTTCACCTGCGGGAAGGCGGGGTAAGGTAGGAGACAGGTGGGCACTAGAGAAGAAATGTGTTTATCTTTGGGGCAGGAGCAATGAGGCAGAGAAAGGACAGATTGAGGCAGAGAAGGCCTGGGGAAACAACGAGCCCCGGCCTAACTACAAGGGTTCCCACCTGCCCCTGGGCTCTGACTTACCGCGATGACTTGGAGAGATACAGTTGCCTCGCTTCTCTGGGCCTCAGCTTTCCTATCTGTAAAATGGAGGCAATGACAGCGTCCACAACGTCAGGTAGGAGCTGAATCACAAGAGCCAGAGAATGGGAAAGGCGTTTTGTAATCAATAAAGCTTGGAATGGAGCCTCGTCATGATTATGGTCCTGAGAAGTAGCGGGTACCCCACAGAGCCGTGACGTTGCGGAGGCGCCGGGGCCCGGCTCCTCAGCGTGCTCCCTTCAGTACTCTTCCCGAGAGTTCCCACAGCCCAGGCCCACTCTCATCCCAGGGCTCGAGAAACTTCTGCCTCCAGCTCGCTCCACCCGCACTCCCTCCCAGCTATCGCCCTGCAGCAGCTCACTCACCACCCAGCCCAGGGCAGGCGGGAGCCGCATCTCTATGGTCGACAGAGGCTGGAGCGGCCTCCCGGGGATCCCTTTGTGCGACCACCTCTGGCCCAGCCGCCTCTAGGACATCGGGCATATGGAGGCCACTCTCTCTTCCTCTTATCGGCTGCCAAGACTCTATGGTTTTTCCCCTGTGTCGCTTTTCCCGCCCCTCCCCCGCAACTCTGAAGCCTATAGAGTACCATCGAGAGTTGCAGGGCAGAGTGGCATGGGCGTCTCAGTGGGTGTGGTGGGAAGTAGATGAAAGAACTCGGGGGCGGGGCCGACACCCGCTTCCCCCGACTGCAGAGTGATACCATCGAGATGGAGGGCCAGAGAGTCATGGCGGTAAGGGGGTGGAGTGATGAGTTATTCCAAACCACGTTGCTGGAGGCGCCAGCTGGCCTGTGCAGGAGGTTCGGAAGGGGGTTTCTGGGTGTCCCGCAAGGACTAGGGGCGAGAGACCTTTGTGGCCCTCCATGCATAGGTGTTTTGGAATGCTGGAGCCCAGCTCTGAGCCTCAGCCGAGGTCACTGCTGTCAATTCACTACTCTGCGTTCCAGGCTCAGAGCAAAGTGGTGGAGGTGGGTTGGAGTATGGGGGTCAGAGGAGAGGAGTACTAGGAGCAATTTTGCCCCATCCCTCGGGATCTGATTGTCTACAATTAGGCCCAGTAACATTTTTGTGGGGGCGGAATTCGGGAAAGGTTATGTGGAGGAAGTAACAGATGGGCAGGATTTCAGTTGGAGAGAGTTGAGAGAATAAAGAACGGACCTTCCGAACCAAGAGAACTGCATGAGTAAGGAGGTGGGAAGTTGTTTGCATATTCGTCGAACAGGGAGTATTAGAAGCTAAGCCATGAAAAGTGCTGTGTTGTGGAGGGCCTTGAGTACTAGGCTGAGTTTATACCCAATTCAGGAGTCTGTTGGGAACCAGACATTGAAGGTGCTAGAGCAGGGAAAGTGATACAATTGGAGCTGATTCTTACGAAGAAAGATCTGGACCCCTGTGTAGTTGTTTGGTGGGGTAGGAGGTGGAGACCCATTAAAATCCCATTTCAATAACTAAAATTTGATTTTAAAGAGACAGTTTAGGTGGGAGGTAATAAATGTCATTAGGAATTGGACATGTGAGGGTTAGGATATTCAAAGGACATTACTCATAGTAACAAGGCATGCAGTTACAGACAAGTCAATGGAAGAGTCACCCCTGCTGACTCCAGCCAGTGGGCCCCTTTCTATCTCAGCTGGTCCCAGGGACCACAAAAATTCTGTCCATCCATTATCCTGATATGAAGCCAGTTACATTGTTCTCTCCAGTTTAAGGAATCTCCAGACATGGTCCTCTGGCAGGAAACTGAGGTATGATGAAAGGCAAAATAGGATGAAGGGTCTGGAGTCTTGGCCCTTGCATTCTAACATCACCCTTACCCCATAAAAAGGAGGATATTGAAGCACACAGTCATGCTGACCTTTCCTTTCTGCTTCTGCAGGAAAGAGTGAGGTGGGGCTGGGTGGTATCATGGAGTCCAGTTTCTAAAGTAATCTTGTGATTTGCCCCATCTCCACTGCTTCCCACCCCTAGGTTTTGATAATGCTCCAGAGCCTGTAAGGGTTGGTGTTTCCCTTTCAAGATGCCACTTTCAGACTTTATTCTGGCCCTGAAGGACAATCCCTACTTTGGAGCTGGATTTGGGCTGGTGGGTGTGGGCACAGCCCTGGCCCTGGCCCGGAAGGGTGCCCAACTGGGCCTGGTGGCATTCCGGCGCCATTACATGATCACACTGGAAGTCCCTGCTCGAGACAGGAGCTATGCCTGGTTGCTTAGCTGGCTTACCCGTCACAGTACCCGCACTCAGCACCTCAGTGTTGAGACTTCGTACCTTCAGCACGAGAGTGGCCGCATTTCCACCAAGTTTGAATTTGTCCCCAGCCCTGGAAACCACTTTATCTGGTAAGGTTGGGAGCCAAGGGGGGCTGGGAGAGTAGAAAAAGAGAATGAAGGGAGCAGGGTTTGATCCATTCACTCACTCTACTTTGTTCTTATTCAGGTATCAGGGGAAATGGATACGGGTAGAACGAAGTCGAGAGATGCAGATGATAGACTTGCAGACAGGGACTCCTTGGGAATCTGTCACCTTCACGGCCCTGGGCACTGACCGAAAGGTTTTCTTCAACATCCTGGAGGAAGGTGTGGGATGACACAGGCAGGCACTCTAGGGGGTGGGTTGCTCAGGTGGGGACCTTTGACACCAGAAACGGAGAAGTTTGGAGAAGAGGAATAAGAGGATATGGGCTGGGTGCGTGGCTCACACCGATAATCCTAGCACTCTGGGAGGCTAAGGTGAGAGGATTGCTTGAGCTCAGGAGTTTGAGACCAGCCTGAGCAACAGGAAGACCCAGTGTCTACTAAAAATAGAAAAAATTAACCAGGTTTGGTGGTGTGCACCTGTAGTCCCAGCTACTCAGGAGGCTGAGGCAGGAGGATTGCTTGAGCCCAGAAGTTTGAGGTTGCTGTGAACCAGGCCATTGTACTCTAGCCTGGGTAACAAAGCAAGACTCTTGTCTCAAAAAAAATAGGATATGAGCCCATGGGAGCAGGGGGCCAGAAGGAAGCTGTTTGGCACAGTTCTAACTAGTTAGAGAATCAGCCATGATGAAGAAAACTATTGGCCTTATCTCATCTTTCCCCTCCCAGCTAGAGAGCTAGCCTTGCAACAGGAGGAAGGGAAAACGGTGATGTACACAGCTGTGGGCTCTGAATGGCGCCCCTTTGGCTATCCCCGCCGCCGGCGACCACTGAATTCTGTGGTTCTACAACAGGGTCTGGCCGACCGAATTGTCAGAGATATCCGGGAATTCATCGATAACCCCAAGTGGTACACTGACAGAGGTGAGAAGCAGCTGGGATCCTGGCTGGGCTGTTTATGACATTTCAGAGGAGGAGGAGACAGGCTGGTCTCTGGCCAGATGGGGCAATACAAAGCTCTTGCCCAGTTCCCAGATATAAACAGGAAAGAAAAATTGCCTCTGAGGATGATTTCTCAAGGTCTTTAGGCCTCCAGAAGGCAGGGTTGGGAATGAATATTTGGGACAAAGTACATGATTCATTTTAGGTCTCAATCATCCTGGCTCTATCCCTAGGGATTCCCTACAGACGTGGCTACCTGCTTTATGGGCCCCCTGGTTGCGGAAAGAGCAGTTTTATGTGAGTCAAAATTTCTCTTAACTTTGCAAAACACAGCCTTTGTGGAAAAGCTGGACTGATGGGTTGGAAAGAGAAATGAATCTGGGGAACAGGGACAAAGATAAACATGAGACACGTGGAACATTAGTGTTGGTGGTAGAAGTTAGGCCTCTTGGACATGCTTCCCAGGACTGAAGAAAGAGCATTTGGGCCCAGATAAGGGTTCCCAGGTTGCCTACTGCCTCTTGCCATCCCATTCTCCACAGCACAGCCCTGGCTGGGCAACTGGAGCACAGCATCTGCCTGCTGAGTCTCACAGACTCCAGCCTCTCCGATGACCGGCTCAACCACCTGCTGAGTGTGGCCCCACAGCAGAGCCTGGTGCTCCTGGAGGATGTGGATGCTGCTTTTCTCAGTCGAGATTTGGCTGCAGAAAGTAAGTGGAGGCACTAGGGGATGGGGAGTGGTTCTAATTAAGGGCAAATAAGGTATAGAAGTAAATGAGGAACAGTGGGATAAGTAAAAGTCCAGAGGGCTGATGGAAGATGCTGGGTTAGCCACAAGAGCTTACAGAGGCACCATAAGTAGGGGAACATGGTGGGAAGTGGGGTGTTAACTTTAAGTAGGACTGTGACCCACCCATGCTTCTTATACTGTGCTTTCCTCTAGACCCAGTAAAGTACCAAGGTCTAGGCCGTCTAACGTTCAGTGGACTGCTCAATGCCTTGGATGGTGTGGCTTCTACTGAAGCCCGCATTGTGTTCATGACCACTAACCATGTTGACAGGTAAGAAGGGTGAGGTACTCTGAGACTGAGAAGCAAGACTACACACTCAGTGCCTTTGGAGGATCGGGAGGTTGAGGGGACCATCTTCTTTTTGGTTGCCAGTATGACCACTGCCTGTGACTCTGTTTTCCCTGTCTCCCTTTAGACTGGACCCTGCCCTGATACGCCCAGGGCGAGTAGACCTGAAGGAGTATGTGGGCTATTGCTCACACTGGCAACTGACCCAGATGTTCCAGAGGTTCTATCCAGGGCAAGCACCTTCCTTGGCTGAGGACTTTGCAGAAAATGTCCTTAAAGCTACAACCCAGATCAGTCCTGCCCAGGTGCAGGGTTACTTCATGCTGTATAAAAACGATCCGGCAGGGGCAAGTCACAATACTGAGTTGCTGAAGAAGTAATCAGCCAGGCTGTGCTTATTTATCCCCCCCAGGAAATCAATAAACACCTGCCACACTACTCAGGTCTCTGACTCCCTCCCTCAGTCACTGTATTGGTGCTTGAGTAAAAAGCAGGGGCTGCAATCACAGATGCCTACAGACGTCAGGCAGCCATAAATTGTGGGGCATAGCCTAAGACCTTTGTCTTAGGAAGGAAGAGACGCCAGAGCAAACAAGAAATTAAATTCTTCCACCTAAAGGCATTCAAATTTAAAAATATATATATGAGTATATATACAACAGGTTATGTGTAATAGTAATTCCTGAGGAATCTGCTCAAATGTACACATCGCACTAATATTCCCTGAAATCCATTGTACTAACTGATGAGATGTCAAACTCTCTTTACCCAGATCTCTTGGAAGAACAGATTTCCAAGCAAAGTTGGGAGCTGCTCTGCCACACACCAATTTTACTAAGAATTTAGAGAAAGAGCCATATCTCAGGCTTGGCACTGCTGAATGAAGAAAGCCAAACAAGGCCAAATATCTTTATTGCCCCCCTCCCATCCCCAACTCCCTGTCCCCCCACAGTACTGCTAGGAACCATCCTCAGATTCCAGGCCCAGGGGCTCCCTCCGAGTACCAGGCCGGTATGCTCCCTGGCCCCGAGGAAGGCGGGGGTAGGAAGAACCTGGTGTCCGGCCTTTGGAGCGCTCCCAGCGAGCACAGTCCCGAGTCCTGCGGGGTGGGGGACCCTGCCAGCTGCTGGGCCCCTTCTCTTGGGGAGGACCTTCAACCCCTTGGTTATGGGGTCCTAGCTTTAGGTCCATGGACTCTTTGAGGGGCCTCTCAGGAGGTGGCAGTTCCTGGGTGTTACTGGTACCTTTGGGGGCACAGCATTGCCCTCCCTTCAGGTGCCTCCGTTCGGGCTGTCGCCAGGGGCCTCGAGTGGGCTGGGGGGTATCTAGCATAGCTTTCTGGGTCTCGCCCAACCTCTGAGGTGGCCCAGCCCCTTGAGTCTTCTCACACATGTACTGAGTGGCCACAGGCAGAGGAGTTGGCAGGGTAGACTGGGCAGTTGTTGAGGTGGACAGTTCTGCAGCAAGGGCACTGGGTGGGTGGGATCCTGTGGAGACATCTATAGCTGACTCAGGTTCCAAAGGGGCAGGAGGCTAGAAAGAAGTGAAGAGATGCGGTGAGGGAAATGTTCCTCAAAGCAGGGAACTATAGGCCCCTCTCCTACTATCTGACTTGACCACCATCAACCTATAACCTCCCTGGTTAGAACAAAGCTGATCCTACAGCCATGCCATAGTGGGGTTTGTAGGAAGGTTGGTGGCACTGTGGGACAAGTGGGAAACCCTTCCCTCACCTGCTGAAGGCTGATGAAGTACCGGTTTCGCTCAGCCTCAAGGTCAATGATGCCTCCCCGCTCCTGTTGCCTCTGGTAGAGCCGCTTGCGCTCTTCTTGCTGGCGCAAGCTCTCTGCATTGGGCTGGTATAGCTCCTGCAGGGAAGGAAAAAGAACCCGCAGGGAAGAAAGAATAAACAGGAGAAATAGGCAGACTTGAACCCCTACTCTTCCAGGTCTGCCTCAGGAGATCTGTACAAGTTCTTGATTTTGTTCCTCAGATTTGGGCTCCTGAAGCCTTTGGCTCCCAGTGGGGGCTGTGGCTTTGCAAAGAGGTTCTAGGCAGGTCAAGCCCAATTCCAGAGATTCTATTAGACACAGACAAGATGCTATTCTCCCTTCTTAGAGAACGCCCAGTATTCCTAGCTCAAATTAGAAGGGAATCCCCTTACCATGGGCTGTTGGGGTTCAGGGGCTGCTTTCAGTGAGGCAAGGTCGTACACGAGGGGCTCTCTGCACACTGGACACTGCACACCGACTGCCTTCTAAAAATAGAGGATTATCAGTAGTGTGACTATAGTTTACAATAATCTATCATATAATGCACAATAGCTAGAAGAAAAGAATTGGAATGGTTCTAGCATAAAGAAAAGACAAATATTTAAGGTGATGGATATTCCAAGTACACTGATTCGATCTTTACAAATTACATACCCTGAAACTATATGTATCTGTTATGCATCAGTAAAAAAATAAAAATAGGGCTGGCTGGGGTGGCTTACATCTGTAATCTCAGCACTTCAGGAGGCCAAGGTGGGAGGATGCCTGAAGCCAGGAGTTCAAGTCCAGCCTAGCCAACATAGCAAGCTCCCATCTCTACAAAAAAACTTAAAAATTAGCTAAGCATGGTGGTGCACACCTGTACTTGGGCAGCTGAGATGAGAGGATCGCTTGAACCCAGGAGATCAAGGTTACAGTGAGCTATGATCATGCCACTGTCCAGCCTGAGCAACAGAGTAACACCTTATCTCTAAAAATAAATAAATATTTATAAATAAATAAAATTTTTAAATTTTGGAAATCAAAAAAATAAAAATAAAATTTTAAAAAGAAAAAAATCATACCCGTTTCACAGCCCAGGGTGTCCCCCAGGTGCTGACCCATCAGCTAGCTTTATCCACAGGAGTCTGGGACTGACGGGCACAGGCATACCTGTTTATCAGTGAGGTGGGAATGAGCAAGGGTTGCCTAAGTACAGGTCTAGGAATTCCCTGGAACTGGATGCAATATGTAAGTAGATACAAGGATGCCTTTTTTTTGGAGATTAATTTCATTAACCTCAAAGGTATCTATGACCCTAAAATGGTTAAGAGCCACTGGAGTGGAGGGATGGAAAAAGTTGTGAAGTCAGTGCCTGAGGGTGTCAGGTGAGAGAGCAAGGGCTGGTGAGGTGTACCTGTTTGGTTGCAGCATGTTGCCGTTCCTGTTCTTGTTCCTGTCCTTGTGCCTTCAGCTCTTGCTCCATGTGCTGGATGTACCGAGCAAGGCAATGGCAATGGAAGTAGTGGTAACAGGGCGTTTTAGTAAAGGCCTCCTTCTCCTAGAGGAAGGACAGATGTAGGGCACTAAGTCAGAGCTGTCTCATGAGCCCTCATGTGCCTGTCCCAAGCAGATCCCAGGTCCCAAGAAAAAAACTTACCTGGAAACCATAGAGGCAGATGACACACTGTCCGTGGGGGATGTTGTTATCTGTGAGAATTTCCTTCCCTTTCTGAGAGGAGAGAAGACAGTGCTCAAACAGGGCGGCAGGGGCAAGTACTGTGAGCAAAGCCTATCTACTACTCCCAAGAGTAACTGGCTGGGCCGGTGCGGTGGCTCACGCCTGTAATCCTAGCACTCTGGGAGGCCGAGGTGGGCTGATTGCTCAAGGTCAGGAGTTCGAAACCAGCCTGAGCAAGAACAAGACCCCCTCTCTACTAAAAATAGAAAGAAATTAATTGGACAACTAATATATATAGAAAAAATTAGCCGGGCATGGTGGCGCATGCCAGGAGGCTGAGGCAGCAGGATTGCTTGAGCCCAGGAATTTGAGGTTGCTGTGAGCTGGGCTGATGCCATGGCACTCACTCTAGCCTGGGCAACAAAGCGAGACTCTGTCTCAAAAAAAAAAAAAAGAGTAACTGGCTGGACTCGACTCTCACCAAGCCAGTTTGTTACCTTGTGTTTATGCATTTGTCTTGGTGATACTCCCTCTGCTTGTAATCAGTTCTTCTCCACCTCCCTGCCTCTCCCCTCACATTTGATCCTCCTAGCTTCAAAATCTAAATTAATAATTTTTCCTCTCATTAAGTCACTTTTAATATATCTTGGAGATGAAAATATACCTTGGAGAGAAAAAAAAGTTCAATTGATACTCATGTTCTGGGAGGCACTTTTTGATTAAGCTATCTTGTGTATCACTCCCCAATGAGTTTGTTCTGGAGTTGGCTTTCAGAAAGAAAGCCAAGACATGAACAACCCAAATGGACAGAGAACTCAAAAGCCATGAAGTTGGGCTGTGAAATATGCCTTTGCATTGATATTTACTGTACTCTGGAATTCCACAAAGTTCAAGGCTGCATTGTGGAGGCCTGATCTAGGAGTGCTATCGTGGTCTATTATGCCCACTCTCTTTGACTCTAGGCCACCCACCTTCATTCTATTCTGAACATTTTTCTTAAAATTTTAAAGTAAAGGCTGGGCATGGTAACTCACACCTGTACTCCTAGCACTCTGGGAGGCTGAGGCGAGAGGATTGCTTGAGCTCAGGAGTTCGAGACCAGCCTGAGCAAGAGCGAGACCAAGAGGATTGCTGCAGAAAGTAAGTGAGCACTAGGGGATGGGGAGTGGTTCTAATTAAGGGAATAAGGTATAGAAGTAAAATGAGGAACAGTGGATAAGTAAAAGTCCAGAGGGCTGATGGAAGATGCTGGGTTACCACAAGAGCTTACAGAGGCACATACAAGTAGGGGAACATGGTGGGAAGTGTGGGTGTTAACTTTAAGTAGGCTGTGACCACCATGCTTCTTATACTGTGCTTTCCTCTAGACCACAGTAAAGTACCAAGGGTTAGGCGTCTAACGTTCAGTGGACTGCTCAATGCCTTGGATGGTGTGGCTTCTACTGAAGCCCGCATTGTGTTCTGACCACTAACCATGTTGACAGGTAAGAAGGTGAGGTACTCTGAGACTGAGAAGCAAGATACACACTCAGTGCCTTTATGGAGGATCGGAGGTTGAGGGACCATCTTCTTTTGGTTGCCAGTATGAACCACTGCCTGTGACTCTGTTTCCCTGTCTCCCTTTAGACTGGACCTGCCCTGATACGCCAGGGCGAGTGACTGAAGGAGTATGTGGCTATTGCTCACACTGGCAACTGACCAGATGTTCCCAGAGGGTCTATCCAGGGCAAGCACCTTCTTGGCTGAGACTTTGCAGAAATGTCCTTAAACTACACCCAGATCAGTCCTGCCCAGGTGCAGGGTTCTTCATGCTGTATAAAACGATCCGGCAGGGGCAAGTCACAATACTGGAGTTGGCTGAAGAAGTAATCAGCCAGGCTGTGCTTATTTATCCCCAGGAAATCAATAAACACCTGCCACACTACTCAGGTCTCTGACTCCCCCTCCTCAGCACTGTATTGGTGCTTGAGTAAAAAGCAGGGGCTGCAATCACAGATGCCTACAGACGTCAGGCAGCCATAATTGTGGGGCATAGCCTAAGACCTTTGTCTTAGGAAGGAAGAGAGCCAGAGCAAACAAGAAATTAAATTCTTCCACCTAAAGGCATTCAAATTTAAAAAAATATATATGAGTATATATACAACAGGTTGTGTGTAATAGTAATTCCTGAGGAATCTGCTCAAATGTACACATCGCACTAATATTCCCTGAATCCATTGTACTAACTGATGAGATGTCAACTCTCTTTACCCAGATCTCTTGGAAGAACAGATTTCCAAGCAAAGTTGGGAGCTGCTCTGCCACAACACCAATTTTCTAAGAATTAGAGAAAGAGCCATATCTCAGGCTTGGCAGCTGCTGAATGAAGAAAGCCAAACAAGGCCAAATATCTTTATTGCCCCCTCCCATCCCCAACTCCCTGTCCCCCCACAGTACTGCTAGGAACCATCCTCAGATTCCAGGCCCAGGGGCTCCTCCGAGTACCAGGCCGGTATGCTCCCTGGCCCGAGGAAGGCGGGGTAGGAAGAACCTGGTGTCGGCCTTTGGAGCGCTCCCAGCGAGCACAGTCCCGAGTCCTGCGGGTGGGGACCTGCCAGCTGCTGGGCCCCTTCTCTTGGGAGGACCTTCAACCCTTGGTTATGGGGTCCTAGCTTTAGGTCCATGGACTCTTTGAGGGCCTCTCAGGAGGTGGCAGTTCCTGGTGTACTGGTACCTTTGGGGCACAGTTGCCTCCCTTCAGGTGCCTCCGTTCGGGCTGTCGCCAGGGCCTCGAGTGGGCTGGGGGTATCTAGCATAGCTTTCTGGGTCTCGCCCAACCTCTGAGGTGCCCAGCCCCTGAGTCTTCTCACCATGTACTGAGTGGCCACAGGCAGAGGATTGGCAGGGTAGACTGGGCAGTTGTTGAGGTGGACAGTTCTGCAGCAAGGCACTGGGTGGGTGGATCCTGTGAGACATCTATAGCTGAACTCAGGTTCCAAAGGGCAGGAGGCTAGAAAGAAGTGAAGAGATGCGGTGAGGGAAATGTTCCTCAAAGCAGGGAACTATAGGCCCCTCTCCTACTATCTGACTTGACCACATCAACCTATAACCTCCCTGGTTAGAACAAAGCTGATCCTACAGCCATGCCATAGTGGGGTTTGTAGGAAGGTTGGTGGCACTGTGGACAATGGGAAACCCTTCCCTCACTGCTGAAGGCTGATGAAGTACCGGTTTCGCTCAGCCTCAAGGTCAATGATGCCTCCCCGTCCTGTTGCTTCTGGTAGAGCCGCTTGCGCTCTTCTTGCTGGCGCAAGCTCTCCTGCATTGGCTGGTATAGCTCCTGCAGGGAAGGAAAAAGACACCGCAGGGAAGAAAGAATAAACAGGAGAAATAGGCAGACTTGAACCCCTACTCTTCCAGGTCTGCCTCAGGAGATCTGTACAAGTTCTTGATTTTTGTCCTCAGATTTGGCTCCTGAAGCCTTTGGCTCCCAGTGGGGGCTGTGGCTGCAAAGAGGTTCTAGGCAGGTCTGTACACAGCTGTGGGCTCTGAATGGCGCCCCTTTGGCTATCCCCGCCGCCGGCGACCACTGAATTCTGTGGTTCTACAACAGGGTCTGGCCGACCGAATTGTCAGAGATATCCGGGAATTCATCGATAACCCCAAGTGGTACACTGACAGAGGTGAGAAGCAGCTGGGATCCTGGCTGGGCTGTTTATGACATTTCAGAGGAGGAGGAGACAGGCTGGTCTCTGGCCAGATGGGGCAATACAAAGCTCTTGCCCAGTTCCCAGATATAAACAGGAAAGAAAAATTGCCTCTGAGGATGATTTCTCAAGGTCTTTAGGCCTCCAGAAGGCAGGGTTGGGAATGAATATTTGGGACAAAGTACATGATTCATTTTAGGTCTCAATCATCCTGGCTCTATCCCTAGGGATTCCCTACAGACGTGGCTACCTGCTTTATGGGCCCCCTGGTTGCGGAAAGAGCAGTTTTATGTGAGTCAAAATTTCTCTTAACTTTGCAAAACACAGCCTTTGTGGAAAAGCTGGACTGATGGGTTGGAAAGAGAAATGAATCTGGGGAACAGGGACAAAGATAAACATGAGACACGTGGAACATTAGTGTTGGTGGTAGAAGTTAGGCCTCTTGGACATGCTTCCCAGGACTGAAGAAAGAGCATTTGGGCCCAGATAAGGGTTCCCAGGTTGCCTACTGCCTCTTGCCATCCCATTCTCCACAGCACAGCCCTGGCTGGGCAACTGGAGCACAGCATCTGCCTGCTGAGTCTCACAGACTCCAGCCTCTCCGATGACCGGCTCAACCACCTGCTGAGTGTGGCCCCACAGCAGAGCCTGGTGCTCCTGGAGGATGTGGATGCTGCTTTTCTCAGTCGAGATTTGGC